ACTGTGTGCCCCCCTGCTGATTCACGTGGGCCTTTGCAGCCACGTTGTCTGTTCGAATCAGTATATGCTGGCCCCTGACTTCTATGTGGAATTTTTGAAGAGCTAGATAAATTGCTCTGAGCTTCAACCAATTTATGTTGTGTTTGAGATCTGCTTGCAACCACCGACCCTGAGCTATCTGGGATTGGAGGTGAGCCCCCCAGCCAAAGAGACTGGCATCCGTGGTCACCTGAAGTCGGCTGGGTTCTTTGAACAGGGTCCCTTTGCTGACGGCCGATGAAGTCCACCAGCCAAGGGAAAACCGTACTTGATGGGGAACCTGAACCCGTCTGTTGGACATACTGGTATGCTGTCTTTGGTATGGGAGAAGAAACCACTGAAGCTCCTGGATATGTAGCCGAGCCCACGGCACGATTGCTATACAGGAGATCTGTTTTCCCAGGAGCTGAGAAAGCGTGGCTAATGCCACGGTTCTGTCCCTGCGTACCTTGTGAGCCAAGTCCCTGATGCTCCTGCATCTCTCCTCTGACAGGTACACATGACACGGTTCCGTGTCTATTACTGCTCCCAGGTGAAGCAGACGGGTAGATGGATTCATCTGGCTCTTTTTGAAGTTGATCAGGAAGCCGTGGACCTGAAGAGTCCATATAGTGAGGGTCAAGTCCGAATGGGCGGCTGAGACTGATGGGGACTGGATCAGGATATCGTCCAGGTAGCACTGGACCCTGACTGGGACCAGCCGCAAGTGAGCCGCCAACACTGCCAGGATTTTGGTAAAGACCCTGGGGGCTGAAGAGAGGCCGAAAGGAAGGGCTCTGTACTGAAAATGGCAGTTGAGATAGCAGAATATTAAGTACCTGCGATGAGCTGGGAGAATAGAGATGTGGAGGTATGCCTCCTTCAGATCTATGGATGTTAATAAATCTCCCCGCCTGATACTGGTTAGGATGGAGTGCAGTGTTTGCATTTTGAACCGTTTGTAATGAAGGTGAAGATTCAATCCCTTGAGATCGAGGATTGCCCTCCATCCCCCCGAAGACTTTGGGACTACAAATAGGATTGAGTAATATCCCTGCCCCGCCTGGCTTGGGGGAACCTCCTCTATCGCCTTGATGGCTAGTAGATGCTGTATAGCGTCCTCCATGAGTTCCCTCTTTACTGGGTTTCTCATGGCTGGGCAAGACACAAAGTGATTGAATGGAATGGATTTGAACTCCAGGGACAGGCCTTCCCTTATGGTACGCAACACCCAGGAGTCTGTGGTGGTGTTTTCCCATTGGCGAGTAAAGTGAGTGAGCTTGCCACCAATGGGGGGATCTCCCTCCGAGTCATTTGCCTTGGTGGAAGGACCGACCACCTCGGCCACGAAAGGAATGTTTGGGTTGTGGCTGGTACCTGGACCTGTCTCTATAACCTGTCCTGTCCAGTGAGCGCTCCTGTTTGGTTGTGCCGACTCTGTTGCTGTCCCTGCCCGAAAGGACTGCCGGTGACTGTAAGGGGTGAATCGTCTTGTAGACCTCTTTGCCACGTGGGAGATCACCTTTTGCTTCTGTTTATTTTCAATTAAGTACGGCGTTAGTGCATCCCCAAATAATTTGAAAGGGGTTGTGGCCGCGCGCCACTTAAGCTTACTTTAGGCTCTCCAATTTTTTAGCCACAGGAGTCTCCTAGCCACCACGTTGGAAGCCATAGCCCAGGCTGAATGTTTGGCTGAATACAGAGAGGCATCGGCCATGTATTCGGATGTGGCAAGTATTTTTGTTAGGGCCTGATGCATTCTAGTTTCCTCAAGCGAGATTCTATCCTGCAGCTGACGCAGCCAGATGATAGAGATTCTTGCAAAGAAGGAAGTGGCCGTTGCTGCCTTCACAGCCCAGGCAGATGCCAAGTGCGCTTTGCGTAAGGCCATTTCAGATTTTTTATCCTCTGCCTTAAGGGCGTCCGATACATCAGCTGGAAGGCTGGCAGTGGAGAATAGCGGTGCCAGCGATTCATCCACTTTTGGGACCTCTAGTAGGTCTCCGAATGCCTTAGGCATGTCTATCATTTTGCGCTCAGACGCGCTCTGTGACGGCTGGGCTGCTGGTGATTCCCACTGATCCTGAACATTTTGGAAGAACAACTGTGGACAAGGGATATGGAGGCGCGTGTCTACAGGCACAGCAAACAAAGGATTGGTTTCCTGATCGGAGGAAGGCTGAGGGGTTGGTACCGACTGAGGGGAAAACTTACTTGCCTCGCACGCTCTGCATAACAAAGCCGGAAATAGTGAAGCATTAAAAAGCTCCGACATGGGTTGGGATTCGTAAGATGGTTCCTCGCAATCCGACCAACCGTCCTTGCCTCCCCCGTAATCTGAAACATCTGGTTCCGAATCAGGGGATTGGGAGGGAGAGACCATACCTGATTGATCCAGTGGAGGCCTCGCGGCAGTTGTTGGTGCCGAAGAAGAGGATGGTCCTGGAAAGGAGGGGGCTTGTTGATGACTCGCTGATGCCATGGCTTGGTACACTGCCTGTGATATCCACATTTGGAGCTGGTCGGAGACGGACTACTCTAGCGGAAGCCTTAACCCCGCAGCAGGTGGTGTGCTGGCAGCAGTGGGTGCTGCAGACGAACCTGGCAAGGCAAAGTTCTCCCCAAACACGGGTGGGCCTACCTGACCAAGGGTCTGAGTTGGGACCTGTTGATACCCCGTCTCCGGCGACCATACTCTGGATATGGATGGTTGAGGCTCTCCCCTGTCCAGTGGTGCAGAGGTCGGCAATGTGAGACCTCCTTCAGCAGACAAGCGTTGGGCCCGGGAGAATTACTTCTCCAGGGCTCTGTGGGTGCGTTCAGCCAGTTTGTCGCTCGCCGTGCCAGCTTTCCTACCATGCTCAGATTTGGATCTCGCCTTACCTGAAGGAGGCTCGGGTGCCGGCTCAGTTGAGGCGGGGATGGTGTCCATGTCCAAGGAACGTGGCTCAGAAAGGTCTGCCATTTCCATCGAAATCAACCCAAAGTTGCCTTTGGCCTGATTCGTTCTGCAAGGGACGTCAGAGGCCCCCGCAGGGGACTGACCTATGTGGATTGGGTGGAGAAGAATCACACGTGTCCCACAGTAGTGGCGATGGTCAGGATGCTGGAACAGCCACCAGATGCAGAAGGGGCAGACAGGCAATATGGCGACCAGGCTGAAGAACCAGAGCTGCTGTTGGTACCACACTCTTGCTCACTGGTGTCTGGATCAGGTGATGGCTGAAACTAAGACTCAGATGAAGGAGTCAGCAATTTTGTTAATCAATCTAGTTTAATACAATTAACATTTGTAGTTCACCCGCACGTTATTACATTCAATTTAGATTTTTAGATTAATTTTATTTTTTTTATTTTTTTAAATTCAAAATGGCGACTGCCAGAGGGATTGAGCCTCCAAATGGCGGGTTCTATGAACGTTTCCCTGGAGGGAATAACAGGAGGGAGGGGGGTAAAGAAGGGGATGTGAGGGATAGAATTAATGCTGCAGTACAAGGGACCAGTGACTGCCACAAATGAGGCTAATTGGAATCTGCTATTTGGCCCAGTGCGCGAAGCAGGGGGATTGCGCCTAACAGCTGTTAGGCGCAAAAGGCTTTACCGCTGCCCCACGAGGCTCCTAATGCTTCCACAGTGGCTTTAAGTGATTGTAAGGCCACCGTTGGGCTTTCCCTTGTCGCAGCAATAATAAGGTGTTTAGAAATGAGATTAGGCCTTTTGAAATTCAAATGGCGGCCTCTAAGAGTCCCTAGCCGAGCCCGGCCAGGGAGAAGCCACGAGGCTGCGAAAATGAAAGCAGTAAGGAAAGGTACCGCGCACATGAAACATCTTTCAACAACCCCTTTGAAATGCGTACAGGTTAAACCTCCCCCCCCCACTGTTTAGGGCGAGGTTTGTTTGCTGATTCAGCAGGATACTGAATCTGGGGAAGTGAAAAACCCACCCCCCCTTTCCTTGGAAAGTTTTAACCTAACCCTGAGGAGGGGAATGCAGCAAATCATTACAGAGGGGAAACAAAACTCTCACTAAGCTGCTAAACTCTTTTAAAGAATCCACCAATGAGTAAATTTTCTATCGGACCTGCTCCAACGTAGAGAGAGTCAAGAAATCACGTCTGTATGGGTGGGGGAAGACCAAGAAGAAAATTGGGAGATCCCCAGATAATGAGGAGGCGTGACAACTTGACAACTTGGTCTGATTGGGCAGGAGGACTGAAATAACCCATTGGTGGATTCTTCTGTCATCATGCTGGAGAAACAAGCTTTTTCTTGCAGTCATCTGTAAGTCCCTCAAAGCCTTGCCGAATGATTGGGCATATCTGCTAAGCCAGCAGTCCCTAATCTTTTTGGCATAAGGGACCAGTTTAATGCAAGACAATTTTTCCATGGACTTGGGGAGGGGGGATGTTTTCGGATTTGCTCACATGGTCGCCACCCACTTCCAGCTGTTCAGCCCAGTTCCTAACAAGCCACAGACTAGTACCAATCCATGGCCTGAGGATTGGGGACATCTGTGCTAAGCAGTCTGGCAGGGAATTGCTGGGTAAGAGTCTTATGCTTTTCCTTAAGCTTCATTTACCTGAGAATCAAACATAAATTTAGGGAAATTTACTGTCCTTGAACTGCCTTTGTGTTCCCTTCAGTATTGTTCAAGGGCTAATAGCTCTGGAAGAAAAATTACTCTGAAGGAGAAAAAAATGTACAGTAGATTCAGATAAAGGAAACAAGTGGGGTGAATTCATTCTGTGAATATCTTACTTAGTGTCTGTGCCATAGCACTTTGTTTTAGTTGGTATTTGAATATATAAGACGTATGTGTTTGTGTGTGTGTGTGTGTGTGTGTGTGTGTGAGAGAGAGAGAGGGGGGGGGAATGGAAAATTTCCTTTGTGCATTAGCATGTCATTTTAAAACCCTATAAAAATTAATCAGATAATATTTGTATTGATTTTAAATATTCTTTATAATTTTTGTTCTTTTGGTAGGACATATTAACATTACACAATATTTACTCAACTATTATTCCGGTCTTGATATTGAGAAAAGGAATGCATTTGGATTTACTGCACTTATGAAATCTGCCATTCAAGGACGAAGTGAATGCGCCAGAGCCTTAATATTAGCAGGTATACCAAATTCTTTCTTTATTGTTTTCTTATCCACTGAATTGTTGAATATTCACACTGAAAAACTCCAGATACTGGCATTTACTTCCAGAGTAGGTTTGGTTAGCTATTATTAAATGATATACAGTAAATGTAGGATTTGGTTCCATAATCATATTCATTGAAACCAATCAGCATCATCAACTCTTTATTCGGTCATAGAACAGCATGTAGAATGCAGTACTTGCAGTTACTTAAATTGAAACAATAGAATTTAAGTTAATCATGAAATTTCCCAATGATTTCAGTGGTTATACTATTAAATCAATCCATTTTTCATCTTGCTGTTTTCTACCACTATATTTCTTTGAATAAATCTCAATCAGAAGGCTAAATTATATAATATATTTTCTGCATATCATAAATTGTAAAAATAATAAAATAAGCATTTAAGAGTTTTCTGCAAATTCTATATGAAATTTTGCAGTGAGTAGCTTCTAAGCGCTATGTGCTTAGAGCTCAAAGCATTGTTATAGACCCCACACACCCACTTTATGTTCTGTTTCTGTTGCTCCCCTCTGGGAGGAGGTTTCAAAGTATTTATAGCAGGACTACCTGATTCTGTAATAGCTAGTTTCTCTATGCCATCTGTCCGGTAAACTTGCAAGATTTGTTTTTCTCGCCATACACATGTATATAAAATCCGAACTAGACTGTGTTGTTTCTCTTTGTCATATAATATATGTGGGTATATGCATAATTTTGTATTTGTTTATTTTTGTCATATTTATGTAGTGTATATTGGAGGCAGTGATCCTATGAGAGCTATATGCAACAAAATTTCATTTTAATGTATGCTGATTAGTGTACATTCAAAGTGACAATAAAGTTGTTATTCTACTCTATTCTGTGAAAAAATCCCTATGCCAAATTTGGAGAGAGTTTTGGGCAAAATAAAAGCATATATTTCTAACTAAGAATAGCTTGAAAACTACTGCAATAATTTCTGTTAAAAATGGCATATTTAATCTTGTCAACAAGAAAATGGAAGCTATTAAAGCAGAGATGTTTAGCACACAGATAGAAGTAGGAAATGGAAGCTGTTAAAGCAGAGATGTTTAGTAAACATAGAAGTAGGATTGAACTTTATCTTCTAGTCATCTTGTCTTAGCATCAGAAACACAAATTTCTCTGACCGTCTTTTCTGCAATTACTCTGTTCTCTACTACATGGCTTTTTAATAGTATTTAGTATTATTAATTACTTTTTAGGTTTTCTTCCTTTTCTTTTCTTTTGCTTTTTATGTACATGGAACATCACTCTGGTTTTTCTGCCATTCACTCAATTGTTCAGTTCATAGACACCGAGAGGCAGTTGCCTGCATATAACTCTATGCCTTTGGTCATCTGTTCTATCATACAAACTGCCCTCTTTCCCACCATTAATATACCCCAGTTATAGGTAATCCTCCACTTGCAACCATTCATTTAACAATAGTTGAAAGTTATGACAGCGACCTACAACCTGTCCTCAAAGTTTTAACCCTTGTAGTGACTTGATTGCAATTCAGGTGCTTTGCAACCAGCTGGCATCTTGTATTCATGTGATCATGATTTGTGATCTTCCTAACCAGTTTACAGTAAGCAAAATCAGTTGGAGATACTGGATTCATTGCACGATTCATTTAATGACCACATTATTCACTTAACAAGCATGGTGATTTCTTAACACAATCACGGTAAAAATGGTCATAAAATCCAATTAACATGATGACTCGCTTAACAACTACATTGCTTAGTGACTGAATTTCCGGTCCAAATTGTGGTTTTAAGTCAAACACTACCTACCATTTTAAGGTTCACAAAGCAATGCTGAAAAAAACTGTATAGGAAGGTAATGATCTATCTCAGTCTTCTGTGGATAAAGGAGGGGGCAGGAATGCCAACTTGTTTCGCACTTTCTAAAATGTTTTATGCAATTGCAGAATCCAGTATAATGATTAGACATTCCACTTACAGGTAAACACCCTGCTCCTCTTATAGAACTTGAAGCAGTTCAGTAGGAAATCAACCTCGTTGACTTTTTAAAAAAAAGAAATACAAAATAAACAAAAATTAGAAAATCTTTTCATCATATTTGAATGTGCCACAATATTTGATATTATATTTTTAAATAGTTATTTGATGACATTCACAAAGGCAAGAAACAGTGATGGGAAAGTCATTGCATAAGCCAGTTGCTTCTCTGCTTTGGTGTAGCTTTAGATGTATCTTTTACTTGTTCTTATTATAGTCTGAGACAGTCTTAAATGAATCTCTTAACCATTCATGAGATTAACCTAAATCCATGGACTTACCATCTGTTATAGAAAACATCCCTTCTGTTTGTTCTTTGGTTATCTCTCTGGTTTTATTAGTGAATTTTGGTGGTTGTTGGGTTTGTTTTCTTTCCTACTATATTGTGCTTTGAATGAAGAAAGATCACAATTTCTTTTTTTTTTCTTTTTAATGAGATTCATTGTAGCTTTAACATTTTCATTCTCTTGATCATTCTCTATTTTAGTCTCTTAATGACAATGCAGAGTTTATATTGGAGGAAAGTGTGTCCAACCAGTGCTCCCAGTTGGTATTCATTTAAATACTATGCTGTTTTTTAAATGCTGTCCCTTCACTGCAAAATGTGTTTCCTCCTGACAGTTTTTTACCAAAACAATTATAGTACTTTACAATGAATTCAAAAATAGTGTGATACACTGTAAATAAATTGTCAGTTACATGGCAACAATTTTAACAAGTAAAATATTTGGTGAGAGATTTTGAAAACATTAAAATAAATCACTGAAGAAAACTCAATTTGTATTGTCAGCAACTGAAATATCTGCTTAGGTTAGAAGTTGTTATTTTAAATAAGCCCCTAGTATCTTCTAATAAAGAGAAGAAATTGTTTGGTACCTTGAATATAATCATGTTAGCAATGAGTTCATGAAGACCAGGGGTGAAAAAATCAAAAAGAATCTATCTATGTATAGATAGTCCTCAGTTAATGATTTCACGTTTAACAACCATCCAAACTTAGAATGCTGCTGAAAAAGTCATTTTTCAATCAGTTTTCATACTTATGATGGTCATAGCATCCCAAGATCATGTGATCATGATCGGGCAATTCATGACTGATGTGCATTTATGACAGCTGCAGTATCCCATGGTCATGTGATTACCATTTGTGATCTTCATAGCATTGCTTGATCAACAAGCAAAGTCAATAGAGAAGCCAGCAGTAATTTGCAAGTTGTGATCATGTAATAATAACCACATGAGTGTTTCACTTGATGACTGAGTCGCTTAGTGACAGAATTGCCTGTCTTAGTTTGCAGTCATTAATTGACAGCTACCTATACTAGATTTCAGAAGAGCAGATTCTGATTAACTCAATGAGAAAGTAGATAGAATCCAATTGCTTAAAATTGTGAAGGAGAAAAGTATCCAGGGAGGATGAAAAGTCCTATGAGAAGTGATACCTGGAGTCTAGACTGCAAACTATTCCTTCAGAAAAGAAAAATGGGAGACATCTTAGGACATGAGCATGGTGTCATGCAGTGCCATAAAAAATGCTATAGAGAAAAAAGATATGTAAAGCAGAGGTCCCCAAACGCCCAGGCCCCAGCCCACTTGGAACTGGGGCATGCAAATATGCGCAGTTTCACTTGTGCAAGCGTTAGCTACACGTGCAGATCCATTTGTGCAAGGGGCAGGCACACACACTCACATGTGCACCTGCTGCTCACACGCATGCCTGCCACTTACACAGAACCATCCTTTCTCTTCCCTCCCCCCCCATCAGTCCGCCAAGCTGAAAAGGTTGGGGACCACTGAGGTAAAGTGAATGGAAGGAGAGGTACCTTGAAACATTTCTACTGACATATGCAAGTTCCAGATCCATTTATAGAAAAAAACATGTGTGGTTGGGTCCAACCACCAACTGTCCGATACTGTCTAACCTGTACAGTATTCTGTGTGTGCAAATATTTTGCCTATTTTTAGAGTTCTGTTGCAATCGGGAATCAACATTCTGAAAAACACATTTCCTTTCATGCTTGGAATACTCAAAACATTTTGCACATCTCTATTTTTTATATTGGAGTAACAAGAGAATGGTAAGGCAGTAAATCTATTTTTTTCTCTCAACCTTATATTGAGAGAGAATTTTTTTTACATTCACTGAGAGGACTGGAACAAGCTGGTGAAAAAAATGAGCAACGACTGCAGGAACTGGTAGTGGAAAGCATGAATCCCTTTTCAGGTCAGCCTGGAATTAACTATTGATTAGGAGATGTTGTTTTCTTGATAGATTTAAATTTTTTTAATGCACAGAATTTCTATTTCTGTATTAGAGCAGGTATGGACTTGTATGTTTTTGTGTGTAAGAGAATGGTTGGTATATGCAGATGAGGTAATCAGTCAATGTAATTTGAATTCCTTATTTAAGGAAATTAATTTTAATCAGTGATTGTTTCATTCTACTTTGATTATGCTGATTCTTGGAGGACTACAGTATTAATGCAATGTTATGCAGAACATTAGGTACAATTGTACTTCAAACCTCTGAACAATTTAGCATAGCTCAAAACCTTACTACCAGACTGTCAACAATGATAGCTAAGAATAGCAATCAAGAACTACAACTTTTACAACTTCTCAGTTCAAAATACATACAGCATGACCTTAATTTCTTTCTCTCTCCCCCCCCCCGCTCATTTCTTTAAAGGAGCAAATATTAATGCAACAGATCCAGGTCGTGGATTCACACCTCTAGAATGGGCATGTTTCACAGGAAGAATAGAATCTGCATATCTAATACAGAGACTTATGGATAAGCCATGCGCTGAGCAATTTTGTGATCAATATTTGCTTGAATGGCCAAAGTTGAAGGAACTTCTTGCCAAGGCTACAGATTCAAAAACTTGCTTGCAGAAGATCTCAGCAACTTTGAGATCCATGGTCGATTTCAGAACTGTCCATGGTCCTGAAGAAGATGGGGTCCTGGATCACATGGTTAGAACAACAACAAGTTTAAGAAGCTCCTTTGTTGCCATAGCTTGTAGGACTGTGTGCCCTGAAAGTCCTCCTGCTGTAGGAAAACGTAGGCCAGCTGTGCAAGAAATTCTTAGGAAACAAAGAGCTAAAGAACTTCAAATTTTAGAGAACAGGGAACATTTTAACAGCTATAGGAAGCTATTTCAGAATTCCAGAATTACGCTACTGTCCAAAAAGAAGGAAAGGAGAGCCAGCCTGCAGCATTTTAACGTGCCCCAGGTCAAGGTTGTGGTTCCAAGGAAAGCCAGTCTCTTACCACTGCACTTGTTAAGAAGAAGCAGCGTTCGACCTGGGCTTGTCATCCCCAGAGTCCGTATAAGTAAGGCACCTCGGCCTACATTCCAGCCAGAGAAAGCGCGACGGAAAAGTAATGCCAGTGATGGGACCTACTTGGAGATTCCCAAATGGAGATATAAGGAGCTGAAGGAACAAAGGAAGAAGGCTGAAGAAGAAAAGAAAAGAGCCGAAGCTTTACAGAAAACCACATCACCATCTCTGCAGAGAAAAAGAAGCCACATTGCTGTTGGTATCGATAAATAGGTTGACGTGGTATATTATATAAATTTAAGAAAAGGAAGATCAAACTGGAGATCACATTTGTTTTAAGAGACTTAAGAAATGCAAGGCATCTGTATGAACAATGTTAATATATGGGAAAGATTATTCTTCTACAATTTTAACAATCACCCTCCCCAAAGTAAAAGGTAATAGGATTAAACTCGAAATAGAGGGGCCATGTCCTCAAATTTACAGTTTACAGCAGCTCTGCAGTAGCATGTCCAGTCTTCTCCCTGGGGTGCAGGAGCGAATCCTCATCCTGCCCCAGCCCACGAGTGAAGAAGCAGTCTTAAGTTGTCACAAAGTGTATTCATACAAAAGTAGTTTTCCCCTTTAAGCCAATACTATCTTCCCTTTGTTTCAAGGTATATAAAACCTGTGCTACTTTCTTATTTTGAGAAGTGAAGTCAAATAACCTGTTGTGGGGGTGATCAGGGGCCCTTTTTCAGAGCATTAAGAATTATGAGCAGGGCCTCTCTCCTCTAGTCACTTGCTAGCCTCTGATGCAGCAAATGCTCTCTGAGGATTTGCACTTCCTATCAGCAGTCCTGTTTAGAATTCTTTTCATATTCCTGTTTTTGGAAAACAACTTCTTTCCAAGCTTCCAACAAGGTAGAGAGAGAATAGATCTCTACTGTTTTATCTGGGGGAAGTAAGGGGCTTTGCACAATGTCATATTATTGTATTCTGACGTAGCATTAAAGAGAATCTGATTTTTTTAGAAGTAGGAGCTCTGCAGAGTTCCTCCCCCCCCCCCATGGATATCATATTGTCACTCCCTCCCCACTTTCATACCACAAATAAGAAAAGTGGTTGCCCAGCAGCTACTCATTTCCCGTTCTCTTCCACACAACCTGGATGGTTGTACATTCATGGTAAGGTTTATCTACTTCCTTCCTCTCGGGCTATTTCTGTCCTGGTTTCTTTCCTTATTTCAGTTTTACCTTTGAACATGGCCAAATGGGAAGTGAGAGAAAGGGCAAACGTATCAGTCTAGACCTCAAGCAGAATCGTTCGAACAGATCCACCCTGTTCATGCTGCTGTGCTCTAATGGAAATAATCCTGCATGATTAGTATAGTACTAAAGGGGGAGCAAAGCCAGAAGAGGAAAACCAAAAATCTTGCCCATAATGAATGGTGCAGTTTCAGATCAGAACAAGACTATTTGGTAGCAGTGGGAGATGCAATAGAAAGATTGGCAATACAACCAGCATGTTTTATACCTAGAAGGATAGTTAATTCAGTATTAGGGGAAGGCCCAAAGAGTTTAAGAAATATCCCTGATAAATAACCACAAAGCAATAATTAAGAAAAAGAGTAGGCTTTTTCAAGGGAGTATCTAGAGAATTAGAAAAGAAGGAATAGATGACATAAATTTCTTATTCAGGATATGTGAGCGATTTAAATATGCTTTAAGGTTTTTTTTTCTCCTACATACAGAGCTTCAGCTTATTGCTTACCTATAGAAAATATGCCAGCCCGAAACATTTTTAAAGTAAATAAAATCTCAGGGGAATCTTTTTTTAAAAAAGTTAATATAAATTCAGCTTATTTTACAGTAACCTGTTCCATTTCTACAAAACCCTCCCCAATTACTTTTCATTATGATGTTCAATTTAAAATTTGATCAACTTCTATTATAAACTGAGTCCCAAAATAATTGTGACAATTGCATTTATTACTAAAGAGATGGAATAAAATGTATATTTTTCAGACTTTTTTTAACATGTATTTTTAACACATAACCACCTGTTCTGGTTACATTGCTAAGCATTTAAAATCTCCGATTATTCTTCAAATTGACTGTGGTGACTTCACGTGCATACGCTTATGGCTTTTCTGGCCGATAGGAGTGGATTGATCTTGCCTGCAGGATTTTACTTTCTAAGGATTTCTTGGTAGTTTCCATCATAGTATTAACCAGGCCTGCTTAGCCTTTTTAAATCGCACAGCCCGGTGCTGAAACTATTACAGTAATTGCACTGCACTTACATTTCCTAGGGTGTTACTCCTCAAAAGTAAAGAATTAGCTTTAAGAACTAGAATGATAAATACCTCATTCCTCAAACTGCACAAGCTGTACCAATCCTTTTTCCCAGTTAAAAAATTCACTTTTCAGGTAACTACCCCTTAGGGTTAACAACAAAAAATTAAGGGTAATATCTCTCAGAAGGGAGTTTTCCTTGTGCATTGAACTGAAAATACTTCACATTGCAATCCAATTCGTCCTAGCTCAGAAATAAAATCCACTGGGTTCAGAGGGGATTATTTCTGACAGGATTACAGCTATAGTTAATACGTGGTTGTCCCATGTATGCAAGGCTATCACAAAGTGCCTGCTTGCACTCCTTTGTCAATTCTGTGCCAACTGAAACTACGACTCATAAAGCAAGCAAGCAACATATATTAATTTTTTAATGGCATGCTATAATATAAGGAGATGGATAAAATTTTGAAATGGGGATTATTTTGTAATTGGTAGATGAAATTTTAGATGCCGGTAGCAAAATGGTTCTCAGATGAGAAAGTGTATTTTCTTCAGAGCCAATATAACATACTTCCGTATAACACCACAAAGTCATCTTCCTCCAAATTAATCTACTCCAATAAGCAGGTACATGAATTTTGAATTTATTTTATAAAAGACAAATGTGCTTAAAATGTACCATTATATTGACTCAGGGATGAAGTTCAGTAGTAATATTCAAGGATATAACCCATTTATGTCAGCATATTATATATTGATAATAAATTATGCTTTCATTATGCAGTATCTTAGTTCTTGACTTTTGTTTGGGACTGTTGTGTTAATTTGTCCTGATCTCTCAATTTCAATTTAGCCCTAATCTCGGTTCTAATTTCCACATCAAAGGCACTTGTTGCATTTAGTGGAGCTGCTAAAGGTAAGAGAGAACAGTCAAAACTTGGAACACATGGAAGGAACTCATATCAGCTGTTTGGGACTCCCATTGAAGAATGTGGATTTGTTTGTATTTCTGATTAGGCAGTAAATGGCATGCTGGGTCTTCTGGTATAAAGCATTAGCACCTGTTTGGCTGATGATAGATATTTCTCTATTTCTGAATTATTCTACCAATCTGAATTTCATTTTCTTACTAACTAAGACATATAGGATGTTCCAATTCTATTCATCCCTGAGCAGCTTACCCTCTATACCCAATAACAAGATTAAAACAAAAACAAAATAAGGCAAGGACATAATCTCTGACAGCATCAAAGCACAGAACATTAATCACAGTCCTTCTCATGGCAGAGAGATCAGAGACAAATCACTCCTCCTACTATAGCTAGAGACCTTAATAGCTTTCTAAAAAACCTTGCAGAATTGGGATCAAGCTAATCTCAAGAGGAGAACCTTTCCAGAAAAGAGGGATATTAAAAGAGAAAACCAGTCACCGTGGTCCTGGCTATGACAATTTTTTTAAAAATTTGGTTGCATATTTTATTCAGATGTTTCTAAAATGCAAGTTGATCAGAATTATAGTTACACATTTTTATTATTTAACAATTGTAATGACATCATCTTTTCTGATACAATCATCTTTATTGATCAGGATTTATAGCAGTATTCTACATCTATTACTAATATGGGTAGTTCTTGACTTACGACCACAACTGAGTCCAAAATTTCTGATGTTAAGCAAGACAGTTGTTAAGTGAATTCTGCCCCATTTTACAACCTTGCCCCAGTTGTTAAGTGAATCACTGCAGTTAATAACATGGCTGTTAAGTGAATCTGGCTTCCCCATTGATTTTGTGTCAACGCTGCTAACATCGTACGTTTTTGCATTGACAACAGATGGAAATGTAGCCATCTTTTACCTTTTGCTTTTAGAGTTAGATGATGCTGGGAGGGGAGATGTGAACGAGAGTTTGGCTAGACATAACAACACCAAACCTAGCGTGAGAAACAGGGTTATTGTAACCAAAGCTGATAAGGAATTGGCGGGCTGGAGAACTGGAGAGGAAGCCTGCTCTTCAAGCTAATTGGGAAATGTGATTTATGATATTAATTGGAGGAGGGAATTGTGTTTTGATATTATGAGCTCAGGGGAGGGGAATTCAGCTTTTGGCTTCGATTATGCAGTGCCGATGTTATGCTACTCAAATAAAAGATTCTTTAAGGTGAACAATGCCTCAAAGTTCTTTTGAAGAGTTTCATCTGTCGGAACCATGACACTTTGCTTGTCAGAATGTCACAAAAGGTGATCACATGATCCCAGGACACTGCAGCCGTCAGTTGCCAAATGTCTGAATTTTGATCACATGAACACAGGGGATGCTGCAGTGGTTGTGTGAAAAATGGTCATGTCACTTTTTTCACACAACCATTGCGACATCCCTATGCTTGTGTGATTTTTTCAGTGCCATTGTGACTTTGAATATTCACTAAATGAACTGCTGTAATTTGAGGACCACCTGTACAGCATGTATCTGTAAGCAAACAACCAAATTTTGTTTTATTGGGCCAAGTTCATTGCACATAGAAATCTGACATTTCCACTCATTAAACTAAATGGGTATGCCAGTGGTAAATGACCCAAAAGATTATTAAAATGCCTTCTTATAATTTATAATTGAGGTTTTTTTTTTCCAACTACAAAGGTAAACCTTGCAGAGTAGGCAAGGCGGGTTGTATGACGTGTGAGTTCCGGCACCTTTTTTTTTTTTTTTTTTTTACAAAACAAGCATTGCTCCACAGCAATTCTAAGCAGGCAAAGCAACCTATTAAATATTATTTGGAAGTTTAGGCAATTTTCACGCCCTTAAACAAAAGATGATTTCTATAGTTTGATGCTGTATAATGTTTGAATGTATGCAAATTGCTGCTGTGCATATTTTTTATATATGCAATATTTGAAAAAATCTGTCACAATGGGTATATAGCTGTCTGATTCTATCTAGTCAATATCGGGGCAGGAAACAAAGACTAGGAATCATTGTCTGGGTGCCAGAAAGTTCCTGTCTGAATACAGACAGGCAATTTCTGTCCTTGGATCTTCAAAGCCAGCCTACTGACAATTTAAAAACAGAATTATTCAGAACCTTCAAATAAAGAAATATAAAGATATACATTTACAAAAAAAAAGATTTTAAAACGAACACCACTTTTTTTATTTTTAATAGGAAAAGTACAAATTCAGTTTCTTGTAATGCAAAAATCAATTTAAAAAACCCCAAGCCCATAAACTCGTCCAGTAAATGTTTTAGGATTCTAGTGGGGAAAAAAATAGAAACAAAAAATAATAGTGAGTTAAAACACTAATGAACATACTAGACCCTTGCCAGGGGACTTTAGTTAGTAGGGGTTGTAGACAAATGTCGATGAAGGAGATGTTTGCAATCTCAATACAATTGTTAAGGGATATCAGTTTATATTTCCTATTTTTTCTGTTGATATTTTTTGCTTCTGACACTCAGGACACTTTTGCCTACGTGTTTCCAGACTGTCTTAGTAGGGATATTTTCCTATTAGACAACTCATCTCCATGCATTATTAAGAAAATTTAAATTATGAAACAGGAACAGAATGTACCTCCTGTTTCAATGACTATAATAATAAGAGTCCATGTGCTTGTTAAAAAGGAGGAACATTAGTCACTGATTCTTGCTAAGGTGTACAGTAAGAAATATTTGAATATATTAAGGTCCTTTTGTACTGAGTGACAAGCGAAAGTACAAACAGAATTATTGACACATAAACCATTTGTTTCTTTTCCCACCCTTAGGTTTGGCTCTTGTATTTGAAATTTTGATAGACTTACTTTGCTAAATCTGTAAAGCAAATATAAGCAAATAAATTATTATATATTCTTTCTGGTTATGTTCCCGTGCTTGGAGCACTGAATGTGTTAAGGGCCCCAATTTCTGGCTATATTGCTAACTCGCCAAATATTTGCTCTTGTTTATGTTGAATTTGGAAGCTTTTCATATTTTTACTGTTTTACCATTTTTGTTGTTTTAATATATATTTTTTAATTTTTAATCGGAATGTATTTTCTGAACTGTAAGCCACCCAGAATCACTGACTGAGATAAGAGGTCATAAGAACTGAACAAACAAACGAACAAACAAACAGAATCACTGACTGAGATAAGGGGTCATAACAAACAAACAAACAAGATGGTTGCAGTCTCAGGAAATCCTGGCACTATACCCAAGCATTTTCAATTTTTTAAAAAAGGACCTGCTTTTGATGTTCTACTTTTGGTGCTTTCTACTGAATATGTACTAAACTTCATAATACCAGATTAAATATGCAGTGCATGTAGGAATCTATAATATTTAGTTTATATAATTACAAACTTCCAGGTTGCCCAGCATGCTGTTTCATAATGCAATTTAGTCAAATTGTTGCAGATTCAAAATGCAAATGTAATGTATTTTCTGAACTGTAAGCCACCCAGAATCACTGACTGAGATAAGAGGTCACAAGAACTGAACAAACAAACGAAGAAACAAAGAAGATAGTTGCAGTCTCAGGAGATCCTGGCACTATTCCCAAGCATTTTCAATTAAAAAAAAAAAGGACCTGCTTTTGATGTTCCGCTTTTGGTGCCATCTACTGAATATGTACTAAACTTCATAATACCAGATTAAATATGCAGTGCATGTAGGAATCTATAATATTTAGTTTATATAATTACAAATTTCCAGCTTGCCCAGCATGCTGTTTCATAATGCAATTTAGTCAAACTGTTGTGGATTCAAAATGCAAATGTTGCGTAAACAGACATGGGTCTTGAAGTGGTTCATTATAAATATCTGCACTTCCTCAGTTGAAGGCATCTCATTCACTGGCAGCCTCAGATTACGGTACCACCTCTGAAGTCAAGGAAGCATTGGGCTACCTTTGCTTTGGCATCAAGACTGAATACAGTAAAGAGGTAAGATGAGATCTTTGCTGGAATATCAAAGTATCCTTTTCCTGACTCATGAAGTAGTGCTTTTTCTCCTCTTTTCCTTTATGGTCAACAAGCCATTGTGTGCTAGAATAACAGTAATGGAGAGAGGTTGTGTGTAGTTTCATTGGTGGGCAGGTAATAACTGAGGATATTTTAAGTCACTCATGGAGAAATGTTAGGTGCTGTTAGCCATCCAGGGCTGCTATGATGAGACGGGCAGACATATCTATCAAATAAATAAACACATAAACAAGTCTTAAAATGTGAGGCGAAAGTCTTTCTGAATACCAGTATTTAATAAGAAGAGGCTTCTTGGATTAAAAAATGTTTACCGGGAAAATCATCTTATATATTAATATAACTGCTGGCCAGGATTTATGTAGAATTTTATTTCCTCCAGATGTTACATGTATTCACAATAGTGATATTTTAAAAGCTTTTGTAGCATCCAATGATATAGGTGCATGTTTGACCTTCTCTAAGCTTATTTAAAACCATCAGTTGTACTATGGGCCAAATGTTATCTAATCCATGTTAGTTTTTAGAGGCATTAAAGATTTAAGATACTAGACTAAGTATGGGAAACCTGAGTTTTTGTTCCTAATCAAGCATGAAGCCATTTAGGTAACTTTGGGCCAGATACCTCTCTCAATCCAAGGAAGAAGATACTGGCAAGTCGTCTCTAAAAATGTTACAAAGAAAACAGTATAGATCTGTCCATTTAATCACCAAAAAGGTCAGGGTTGACTCCTCACTCTGATATTGCTCTGGTCCTGCCCATTTCCTGGTGTCTGTGGAGATCTGCACAGGGAAATTGGAATCAAAAGGCATATGCAATCAAAACACTATCCTTCACCTGGACGTGTGAATACATGTACCATGCACCTGGTTCAAAACCTCAGGTGAAAGAAGAATATAATTCTTAAAATGAATTCACGGTTTTGGCATGCTGGAAAAAAGGAGAGTTAAAGTCAGACTCCATTGTTAATCAGATAAGAATCAAGTTAGCCCAGGGGTAGGCAACCTTGGCTCTTTTATGACTCGTGGACTTCAATTCCCAGAATTCCTGAGCCAGTTGAAGTCCACGAGTCATAAAAGAGCCAAGGTTGCCTACCCCTGAGTTAGCCAAAGAGTAAAGAAGATCAAGCCAAGAAAATTTCCTCCACAAGAAATCTGTTCAAGAAGAATCAGAATAATTTCTGGCCATTGTGAACAAGATATAGCCTCAATTGTCAAGTGGATTGAGTTGTGTTCTACTGCAATAGCAGTTCATCATGTTAGACCTTCAAAATAAGGAACATAAAAGCTATAAACAATTGGATGCCTTAGTCACTGAACTGCATCTTATTGTATAAGCTGCATTTGACCGACTGAAAGAAACCCAGGAAGCCATACTGTGGTTTGTGTGAACCCAAATCCAATTGTATAACTTTCATCTAAAGAAGCCACAACATGATATGTCGGGTTCTTTAATCGATCATCCTGCTTCCTAAGACACGTGTCCAGGACACTTATTTAACTTTCCTACCTATCTGTGCCTTCTGATTAGACTTCACGAAGACAGCTTTTCTTTCTATTTCAGCTTTGCTACTCCACTGGATATTAATCCTGAATCTTGTCTAAGGAAAATCCTAATTAGCATCATTCCCACAGTACAGTAGTCCCCATGCAAATAGGGCTAGGGTTGCAGATGTAAAGTAATAATAATTAACCCCCCCCCAAAAAAAAGAGAAATAAGGAAATAATAAGGGAGTGCTGAATAAATGTAAGATGAAATAACAATATTGAATGCACAATAAAATAAGGTATACTTTATTTGCCAGAATATATATATATATATATATATATATATATATATATATATATATATATATATATATATATATATATATATCTCCCTCTCTCTCTCTCACTCACTCACTCATATAGCCCTCAAAGCCTGTTTTGTGTTTAAATGTTATTGCTTTATCTTTCTGATATATCAAATTTCTCCCCATACCTGGCATTGCCATTCTCATCCTCAATAAATGGAAACTGGAGCCACTTTTGCTGGTTATAAGTTGTGCTTGCCCAAATATGTGGTTTTGTTTGTTTTGCAAACATCCTTAACAGATGTTTTCCCCACGAGAGGTGACAGGTTTTGCCTTCCTATATCAGATCACATTAATTGCATGCTTTCCAAAGTAGAAACACGATAGGAATAGGAGCAACCTTTTAAAATCAGACTTAATCAAATATGGCTTCATATTAAACTGCACTGCCATACTTCATCTACCATTTTTGCCAAAATAGTTTAGCTTGATCATATAAAAAAAAAATGTGTGGCCCCCAGTTTTGGGTTCCTGGAAATTAATGAAGACAATGGGGTGGCTGCAAGGTTGCTAGAGACAGTGGCCTTATTTACATACTGGTGTGGCTTTCTAATAAATGGAGAGTGAACCATATTTTTAAACTTTAAACCCTGGTCTTTCTTTTTGTAATGGTTTGTGGGAATGATGTTAGGAGACAGGAGGAATTGCTGCAGCTGAGACGAAGATGTGATGAACAAATTTTGAGTCTGAATAGGGAGGGATGGCAAAGGTATCCCAGAAGAGACCGACCCTAGTTTTCAGGAGAGTGGAAGTGAGGGACTGGATAGGTATTTTCAGGCTTGCAAGATTCTGTTAATGAACTCTTACAGTAAAGATACAGGTAATAGTCCTGGATCCAGCTTCTTGTCTGGACTTCCTCATAAGCCTGACAGAAGTATGGTGGCTCGTGGTTAGGACACTGGTTGGAAATCAGCAAGCCCACATTTGAGACACGAGTACTGCTCCATGATGGGGTGAGCTCCAGTCATTGACAACCTAGCAATTCAAAAGTGAATAATTACAAGTAGATAGATAGGCACGCTTTGGTGGGCATATTAATGGGGGCATGAAAGGAGCTCCCAATGGGGTGTCCACTGGGCAACGGTGATGTCACCGGCTAATTGTTTCAACTCAGAAACACTTCAGTGCCTCCGACACAATTGCATAGATGCATAAGGTCAACATACCTCCCCCATCCCTCACTTTTGTTCTCCAGTAATCTGCATCCATAAGCAGCTTGAAAGCAGCTGATTCAGTTTTCAGCTCACCCAGTTCATTGCTGAATGAATGAAGACATGGTTTAGCATCAATTTTAATTTATGGGAACATGGGAAGCAAAGCTGTAGTTTTGATAAGATTTTTTTTTAAATAAACAAGACTTCAAGCTAATCATGACTTTTGCTAGCTCAAACTTAATAACAAATTATGATTCCTTAAAAAGTGTTTTGAATGCTTAGGAATTCTAATTTCCAAATATAATAGAAGATACTTAAGCTTCAGATATATTCATTTGGCCCATATTCACATTAGTGTGAATGTAGACAAAGAAAAAGGAAGTGCTAAGTAATAAAAATGTACGATGAGTATAGTTTGTTCATGCAGCAATTATAGATTAGCTGGTATTTTTCATTTTCCATTACTCCCTCTTGTACAAAGGGAAAAAATGAATATCAATACAAACTAATGATCTCATTTCTTTATAATTCTAGGTACTATTAGCTCCACCATGACATCCTTTGTTGAGTGTAGTTACAGATTTGCTGTAGACCTTTTGCAAAAGCAAATGGAGGAGAACTCTGAGAGAAATATCATTTCATGCCCATTGGGTTTGGAGCTGGGACTGGCCACAGTCCTCCTTGGTTGCAAAGGAACCACTGCTGATCAAATAAGACAGGTAGGTGTCCTCAAGTACTTGTGTTCCTTAAAAATAGTTATTTTAAGTCTTATTAAATTATTAATTAGAGGTCACACATATAATCCCATCTATGTTATTGCTAGAAAATGTTTCTTCTTGGTATCTTGTCACATGAATATCTGCATGGAATCATGGGAAAATATCTATTAGCAGCCTTTCTTCCCAACTGGACTTTCCAAAATTCCTTGGAAAGGAATCCTTATAGCTCTTCAGCGAGGAAATGATATAACAAATGTAAAGAAAACTATGCACTTTTGCAATAACCATGCCACCGTGCACAAAGAAAATGTTTACTTATATACCTCCTTACTTAATGTTCATTCTTACTGATAGCCAATTCCAACAAAACTCCTGGTGGGTTAGAATATTTATACCAAAGCCAGTAAAATTAATACATAACTAACACACACAGAGATACACATAGACAAATCTCCCAAAATTCCTGGCATCCAGTAATGGCAATGGCCTATCAATTTAATGCCCCATAGAAGACTCCTGTCTTTTCTATCTTCCTGGGTTTTAGAGCTTTATATGAGTGGCTGTTTTTGTGTAAAGCAGGGAGAGGATGAGTGGCTAAAATGTTTCTGCCCTCCAGCTCAGCAACAATGACACAGAGCAATGGTTTTTCCAATACCTTTTTGGAAAATTATCATAACCCTAACAAGTAGACAATGTGATGCAAGACGATCAGAATCCAGAAGAATCAGTCATGTGCAAATATGGCTCTATATTTGTGCCTTGATATGCTCAACCTCAATTAAGCAATTGGGACAGTAAGATGTTTTGAAATATTCCAAGATAAAGAAGATTCTCTTAGAGAGAGAACTTGACTTACATTTCTTTTTATAGTTTGCACAACAAAGACATTTCAAAGTAAAAGTTGATTGGATTAAGAAAAATCATCTCTCCAGTTACGTCATGAAAAATTAGATATTCAATAATATGTGACCACAAGAATGGAAAAGAGTGTTGTATTCTGAGTAAAAGTAAAAGAAAGATTTGCAAGGGAAAAACATCAGGCTAGATATTAGTGAGATACATTGACATGACTTTCCCAGGGCTGGACTCAAATACTTGTATCAAACACTTTGACCAGTCCTAGTTTTTAAAAGAAAGGCTTTTTACATTCTTGAAGGTTAAGGCTTATGGCAAATTACCAGCAATACATTTAAAAGAAGGCAAATTAAAATACAGTACAAGAAAACCCATGTTAGCTAACCGATGTAATAATATTACGGTACTTACAAAACCCCTATTTCAAGTATTAGAAAGTCCATATTGCGTGGCCCTCAGCAGCAAACTGAAAATCAGACTTCAGCATGTCATGAGCTCTCTAAATTTGCCTGCTGCCCTCAGTAACAACTGAAGCAGTATTGAGCATTAAGTCAGATGAACTTATTTCTCTAGGATCCTGAGAGGGCAACACCTTGTCTCTTGCTTCTAGCAGAAAATAATTCTTGGATACTACTACTTTCATGTCAGAAGCACAAGGTGCTTAGGATTAGCCAACATCATCATTGGTCAGAGGACGCCTGAGTGAGTTCCTTTCATGTTCCCAGTATTTTCCCACCAAAGTGGTGCCTATTTATCTACTTGCATTTGCATGCTTTCAAACTGCGAGGTGAGCAGGAGCTGGGACAAATTAATGGGAGCTCATTTCATCATTCTCAGGTTTAGAACTGCCAAGTTGTCAACCTCTCAATGGTCTTCTGACTCAGCATCCTAACCACATGAGCCATCACAGCCCCTATTGGATGGCGTATGATTAACCATGAACAATGACAAACAAGTTTTCGTGGTTAAGAGCTTGCCCACATTTCTTGTTTTTATGCCAGGTGCTGAAAGATACATTTGCCATTTCGAGACAACACTTAAGAGTCCAAATGGCCTGGTCATGTCTCCGTGTAATTTAACAGGACACAAATATTTTTCAAGAACTTTCTGCAGAAGCACTATTCATTAGAGGATATTAAGACTAGCAGGAAAATAAGGAATTTCCAAAATGGACATATCTCCACTACTCTTAGTTTTGCTCATCATATTGCAATAATAATACTAAAAATACAAACCCCATTACGTTTTAAATAACTTTTAAAAACTCATTAATTTTTCTATTTCTGGCACCTGTAAAGCCACAGGCAGCGGTCCCGATCAAGAAAGCTTGATTGTGACAGGTTACTTAATCAGGTGAATCGCGAGGGGAAAAAAGAGTTAGGTTACACAATCTTGATAGCTTTGTGGGCATGGCAGAGATGGTGCTACCTGTTTATAGCTATGAAAGGAATGTCCCATCTCTTCATGTTCTGCAATATTTTGGAAACATCCATCCTCTCCTCCAAGCTCTGAGAATTCCATTGTATCACCCATTATCGTTGGCCAGGTTGTTGGGGTGGGGGGGTGGGGTAAAATTTGTAGTCCAAAACATCTGAAAAAGATGAGCTTGAAAAAAGCGGGTCAATCTAATTTAACCCCAAATGTCTTAACAGCTGCACTTCCTTTCCCTTTTCTCTTCATCAGTGAACATTTGGGAGAATTTGCATGTTTGTTCTAAGAAGTCCCTGTTACACGCGTCCTCCCAGATTTGGCTTATGATCACTCACTCCCCCACTCACAGCATGTGTGCACACACAGAGATACTCTCATTCACACCTACCCATGTCCTAGGCTGGCAGACACTAACCAGAGGGATGGAAGCCACTAAGTCTGGATTCAAAGATGACTCCCAGAGTGGGTAGGCTTTGGGATCTCTTTTATCCCCCAAAGTCCTTGTTTTGTTGGTTTACAAGTCTGGTAGCAGTTCATAGGATTTGGGGTGGGGTTTCCCACATGCTCAGGTCCAACTTCTTCTTTTTTTTAATCAACAAAACAAAACATAACACACATACACACACAGTATACCCCCCCCCTTTTTAACAGCTATTACGTAACGGTAATTTATTATTTACATTTCCCCCCTTATTCTTCTTTAGAATATTTGTCCTTATTGCCTCGTTGTTTCTTATTTACATTTTTCTTCCTTCCTATTCTACTTCTTACTAAGAATAATTCATATTATTATTATTATACATTATTATACACATATTTTCACTTTTGACCTTTCCATATTTATTCTCCTCTATTATTTCTAGTCTCCAGCCAGTCATACCACTTGTTCCATGTGTCTTCCTTTTCTTTTATCTCTTTTGTTAATTTGTCCATCTCAGCACAGTCCAGGATTTTTCTTATCACTTCTTCTTCTGATGGTATATTCTCATTTTTCCAGCACTGTGCATATGCTATTCTTGCCACCGTTATTACCGGTATATGTAAAATTAAGTACCATATTTCTTTAATACTGTATATTTTCTGTTTAAAATACCCAACAAAAAGATCTCTGGTTTCCAGTCTACGGGTTGATCTATTATTTCTTCGATCCATTTTCTTATTGTAGTCCAGTATTTTTTCGTAACTGGGCATGTCCACCATAAATGATAATATGCTCCATGTACTTTTTTACATTTCCAGCATGTTGGCGAATTGTTCTGGAACATCTTGGCAAACTTTGCTGGTAGAAGATGCCATCTGTAAAACATCCAACTTCTTTTGTCTGGTTCAGGTGACATTTTTTCCTTTGTTTACTTAACAACTTTGTTCCATCTTAACTACTTTTCCTAAGAGAGCTTTTCTTGGCCACCCTGTTTCCAGGCTTGCTTCATCTTTAGGTACGGCAGCTTCAGCCTGATCTTATACCCAACAAAGACAAATTGGGACACAACTGATATATTTTGTTTTGCAGGTTCTTCACGTTTCGCATTGGACAGGACCTGAGACCTCTACAGATATCCCTGTAAGAGAATTATCAGTTGAATTTCATTTTACCACTAACTCTATTAAATGAACTATTTTGTATAAAGCATTCTAAGCACTTGAAAAATAGAAAATAATTTCTTACTTAGCAAAGAAATATTAAATATTGGCAATCAGAATTGTATATCCTAACCCAAATCTGTTATGATGTTTAAGTGATTGTGCCCAACATGTATTGTCCACAAGGTAATGGATAAGAATAATTATTCATTTCCTAGACTAGCATTTTAAAGGAGAATATCTCAAGGATCGGGACAATGACCCCTAAGAGGACTTCTGCTATAAAAATAAAACATCTATTCATCTCCTGAAATCATTTAGCTGAGAATTGTCATATATGTGTTGTTATGACTTGTTCTGTTATGAGTTATGGTAAATGTAAATATTTTGGAGTATGTTGGCAAATATATTTATATGATTATAAATATGCTATCCTTTGCTGCTTGAAGCTTTTGGGGAGTCGCTGTGATAAACCTGGAGGAATTCATAAGCAGTTCCAGCAACTCCTGTCAACCATTCATCACCTTTCCAAAAGCTATGAGCTGAACATAGTCAACCGGCTATATGGATCAAACATTTGTGATTTCAAGGAGGTAGGAAAGAACACTTTTTCTCTCTTCCCCTCTCCGTCCAATATTGATGGATGAGGACCCAGATTGTTGGGGCAATGTAAATATATATATATATATATACATTGCTTACTGGTGTACACCGCTTAGAGAGTGCTTGCACTTAAAGCGGTATATAAGTCTCATAAATAAATAAATAAATAAATAAATAAATAAATAAATGTTCATAATAGTCAGCAGCTCAAAGCAGCCACATATCTTTCTGACTATGTATTTCAGTCAGTAAAATTAATTAGAACTGACTTAAAAGAAAAACAGGAGCAATAGCTCTAGGCAAAAGTTTGGGTTACATATTAGATTTAATGCATGTGAAAATGTTCCTTCACCTCGGGCCAATAACATGCATCACTCCATTATTAGAAGTAATGTCAAAATCTAGGTCCATGTTCTTTTTCCATCAGTTTTCATTTCTGCATAACAGCAAACAAAATGTTAAAAACAGTTAAATAGCAGATGATAAAGTGAGGTAACACTTTGACAAATGAGGTTTTCTTTGAGCTGAACTCAAGTTCTGGTGATTTCGTAGCTACGTCTACCCAATTTTTTAGGTAATGATACCATACAAACACTAGACATTTCATTCCTCTAGGATAGTGTTTCCCAACCTTGGCAATTTTCAGATGTGTGGACTTTAACTTCCAGAATTCCCCAGCTCTAGGATTATTTTCAACTTTGCAGTTGAAAGCCACAGAAAGCGAATAACCAGTGTCAACTAGATTTATTGATTAAGGGCATGTCATAATAGGTGAATGAACATATTGATATGTCTTCTTTCATTTGGTGCAGGACTACATAGGTTGCCTTAAAGAGATATACAATTCGGGATTGGAAAGCGCTGACTTTATGAATGCAACTGAGAAAGTTAGAGAGAAAATTAATTCCTGGGTTGAAAGCCGAACCAATGGTAAGATATTATAGGTTTCTTTCATTTCATTTGCCATTGATCAGTTAGGAAGTCTCGTTGGGTTTCCCCGTCTGAATACCAAGAAGCAGAATGTTTAGTCATTACGAACTAATGGGGGAGGAGGACAGACAACGGACTTTCTGCTGCTAGAAGAATCAGTCGTGTGCAGTGAATTTTTATGGACTGATGTACCATGGAGTGAGATGAAGAGAATGGCCTTCTGATCATGAGGCCAGTTCCTGTCTACTTTAACCTGACACTTTAATCTTGGCAAACCTTGGGGCCAAAAAGGTCATTCATGAATTTTAAATAATATAGATGTATATACAAAAGGTTTTGTAGAGCGGGGAAGGGTCAATGAATATGCCCCGCTAAGGTGCTTAAGAAGAGAAAATTAACCTATGGTCTGGGGTAGGTCCTGAAGGCAACGCCAGTCTGCCATATAACAGAGGTTCAGAGGTTCAGGCCTTCCAGTCCTATGAGCTTTTGAGACCCTCATCCATGGCTTTAGCAAAAGGATTTGCAAGTTGGGGCCAACCTTTCCTTGGACACAGGGAATCCACAAAACTGCTCCATTTTGTCTGAGTTTTTAAACACTCTCTGGTGTGATGTGCCTCTCTGGTGTTATTCTTGCTTTAAGACATTGTTGTTCTGTTTTTTACTGTATACTTCCCAGAGTCACCTGTGTGAGATGGGTGGCTACATAAATGTGATGAATGAATGAAATGTGTTCATTTTAAACTTACATTTTCACTCTTTCATTTATCTTGGATTTTGATGTTTTATGTAGTTTTTTTCTATTCTCCGACTTGAAAATTGTGTTGTAGAAAGAAGTGGTTGGTTGACAGTATTGCACCATTTGCAGATATTTTCATTCAATTTCTTTCCCGAAAGGTGCAATCAAGAATTTCTATCCCGCTAACTCCATTGACCCATCATCTCTCCTGGTATTAGTAAATGCTGTCAATTTCAAAGGAATGTGGAGGACACAGTTTAATCCAAAGGATACACACAGAGCAGTCTTTTGGACTGGCAAGGTAGAGTATATGAAAATCCAGGGAAGCCACAATTCTGTCAAAAAATTAAAAGTAACAACCTTGTTGACTGCAGTGGGAACATGAAATCTATATATTATCCTGAATTAACAGATTGTGAGGTGAAAAATTGGTATTATAATTGGCCTACTATACTCTACGTTTCATCTTGAAATTCCTGATATTGCTTTTTTTTTTTACTTTTAAGCACTGCTTTCCTTTTTATAGGGTCGGAGCATTTATGTGGAAATGATGACTCGAGAGGGCAATTTTAACATAGCTAATATAACGAATCCATCAGCGAAAGTGCTGAAGCTTCCTTGTGAAAATGAAGAGCTAAGTTTGTTCCTTATTCTGCCAGGACCTAAGGAAAATATAGATGAGGTAATTTGAATTTTGAACTCTTCGCAGTGAAATTGATATGTATACAGGTAGTTCTCGACTTATGACTAATCAGTTAGCAGCCATTCAAAGTTACAATGACTCTCCCTAGAGCTATTTATGACCAGAATCTAAGTTCTGATGGCCAGATTGCCCCCCCCACCTCCCAGTCTTCCACATTACATAACTGAATTTTAGATGCTTGGCAACCAGCTCTCATTATGCTGGAAACCAATGTTTACTCCCAATTTGCAGCAAAAAAAAATGCCCATAGCAGACAATGATTTTCCTAACAACTGTTGCATTGACTTAACAACCATTGCATTCATTTAACTGTCACAAAAAAGGTTGCAAAATTGGGCATGGTGACTTACTTAATGACGAGCACGTCTTACAACCCTAACCTGGACTCAATTGTGATCATAATTCAAGGGCTATCTGTATTTTAATATATTATGCTTGGTAAAAGATCTGAACACACATCCCTGAACTTACATCTACAACTTTTTAAAAATCATAGAATTACAGGAAATGGTGTTTCTATTCCTAAACAATTCTCAGATCTCAGCTTGTATATGTTTTTTCTCATATTGTTGATCAGCATAATAACTAACTGTAGTATTCTAAATGTGTCAATATACTGAACATATTCCCTAGTTTGTGGGCAACAATAGACTAGCTTGCAATGGTAGTCTAGAGATCAATGTTCCTAGCTAGCCTAGAGTAGCAGGAATTATTTGGTGCAAAATTATTTTTGGTTCTTCTAGTGCCACACTAGCTAAAATTTGCTAATACTACCTTGAGGACCTCCCATTATCAATATGGCTAGCTAGCTAATAGATAGATAATAGATAGATAGATAGATAGATAGATAGATAGATAGATAGATAGATAGATAGATAGATAGAGCCACTATCCAGAATATAGCCTATTATCCAGCATCAGCAAAAATACTTTTTCAGACAATCACTCCTTAAAGCCACTGATTGGAAGGTTTCCCAGATTCCTGTCTTCTCTCATCATAATTGGGAAGGCAGGTGTCAATTGTTCTCTTGCAGTGGGTGACTCTCTGCAGCCACTTGGCCCATGTGACTTGGCACATATATCTCCTTACATTGAATCCCCACATGGAGGTATTGGACATCTTTGCACAAATCTATTCCATGTGTGTGTGTGTGGGGGGGGTGTCCTTGGTGCTCCCTGAACTTGGTTATTTTCTTGCAGATCTTTCATTGCCCAAACGTCATCAGTGCTAGTACCAGGACTGATGATGTTACCTAGTTTGGATAATGAAACTTCTGCAAGAAAACAACTAAGCTTAGAGAGCACCAAGGACCCCTCATTCAACCCTGAGCTACAAATATTCTCCTTTACCTATCTCCTGTGTCCAACAGTCTTCCCCAAGACTACTGGATTGTGTCTAGTCCCACGTTCAGTGATGTACTGAGAACACTACTTTATGTCTAAGAGATGTTCCTATCTCTTCTACATCGACCAGTATATCAAATACATGTCCATGTTGTTTGGCAAGCTTATGCAAAGCTTGGAAAAGGGACGGAGCAAACTGTTGTGTATGCTTTTGTACAACATTGTTCTTTCTCTAGTAGTGTCTCTCTGTGTGTATGTGTGTGTACTATTGAGATTCAGTTTTTATTAGTGTGGTGCTCTTACTCCAACTGCCACCCATTCTTAAGCCATTCCAGTAACAATGGCCACCATTGTTACTGGAATGATACCTGCTAGTACTAGGAGGTTCTTGAGTCTATTCTGAACTTTTGCCTGGTATTTGGCACAAGCTGCATTTTGATGGCTGAACCTGCCCCTTCTACCCTTAATGCCTGCATATTCAATTAATATGATTTAGGAAAGACATTGCTCTGTTGGGTGACATGAATGGATGAGGGGAAAAAAAAAACCTAGATGGAAAAAAACCCCTTGTATGTTATGTCCAGCATTTTTATTTCACTATTCCTGTATGAATAAAAAGCAGCATGCATGCAGTAATTTTCTCTCTCCACCAGCATTCTCACAACCTCTATTAGGTAGAACGGATTAAGAGAAAGAGTCAATCAGTGAAATCTTTTGAATTTTGGCAATGCTAGTTTTTTTTTGCCTTTTATCTCTATAGAGATTACAGACTTTAATCTGAGGTTGGTGGGATTCCAGACTTTAATCTGAGGTTGGTGGGAACTGGGAATTGGTTGGAACCCCAGCCATCACTTCTCTTGAAATTCTGCCTTTTGTTTTAAAAGGGCTTGTTTTTTTGTCCCTTCAGCAAGGAGTCTGGATTATTTGCCTTTGTTTACGTGTCAGAGAAACCTCTGTTACAGGGAATGTATAAACTGTGACTTCCTGGCAGCCTATAAGAGTGTGAATATCCAAGTAAGCAGACATATTCACAACTCTGGAGCAAGACACCTTCTTCCTAGATGCACTGTTGAAAAAAAGTAGCATTTCAGCAGATAAATGTATTAGGTAACTTCGAAACAATAATGTGATTATTGTGCAGATGTTTGGCATTTTGGAAAACTGTCTTGTTCTTTTTTTCACCGATTTTTTTTTCACTCTTAGTTTCTATTTTACTTGGCAGATTACAAAGAAGCTCACTTATAAAACACTTCAAGAATGGACTTCTTCAGAAAATATGAGAGAGATAAGAATTAAACTTTGCTTGCCAAAGTTCAGTGTGGAAGATACATATTCAATGAAACCAATCTTGATGGGAATGGGAGTGAATGACATGTTTATGCCAGGCAAAGCCAATTTATCTTTCATATCTCGGAAGCCTAACTTGTTTGTGTCTGATTTTAAGTTTAAAGGTTGCATTAAAATCAGTGAAGATGGTGTACATGCAGCTGCTGCCTCTCGTGCAGAGATAGTTCGTGGGAGTAATGCTGAGGTTAACTTTAATAATCCTTTCATTGGCATTCTGAGACATAACTCCACTGGCATCATCCTTTTAATCATCAGGATTTGTGTGCCAGAGTGAGCAGGTGCTGCCATAATAACAAATATCTTTCCAGGTGTGGTGAGCAGTGGAGCTTTCTCTGTTCTGAATTCTATTTCATCTTAGATAGTATCTTGTCTAAACTTACAAGTGATCAAAATCAATTTCATATTTGCCTACCTGGGTAAAAGCTTTTACTTTGTGAGTTTCTCTGCAATTCCTCTCCAATGCAAAAGTGATGTATCCATAATAAACTTTCTTATGCTGTGTATTAAACTCCTTTTTATCAGGGTCCAGTCCAAGCCGGGAATAAACAACATGGCAAATGCTTTAGAAAGGAGAGCCAGACAGAAAGATGGCTCTGGAAGAAAAGAGTGAGCACATGTAGAAGGGAGTGAGTTTTATATCCTCTTGGGCTTTTGTTTGGAGTTGTTTCCTGTTCCTGTTTGAGGCTTTACATTTCCTGTGTCATGTACTTTGACCTGAGTGTGCCCCTTTGGTATCTGTGGGTTAATCCTATTGTCCTAGAGTTTGGGTGAGGTATATAGATTTTAGGTGTCTTTGTCTCCCTAAGCTTCCAGCTGAAGGGCTCCAACCTTCCTGAATGGATTATTATATCTGCATTTCTATAGAGCTGGTTTCTGCTTGGGGGAGGGAGACTTGGAGCTATTAAGAAAAACTGGGCATGCTTTTCTGCCTCTTTAAGATCCTTTGAGAAAATATATTCTGCCCTTTTAATATTTCCTTCTTTGGGGGGAGGGGTGATTTCCCACACACAGAACCAATAAAGTGCCATGTCCATCCTACCCTCGGGAAAACTATTAGTTTTCAAGGACTTTTGGAAATATCAGGGTAGTAATCATATATTGTAGATCAGGGCTTTTCAACCTGTGGTACGCATACCACCTGTGGTACATTGCCACGTGGCAGGTGGTAAGCAGCCCAGCCCAGCCAGGGTAACGGGGGAGGAAATGAGCCAAAGTGGTGCACCACAGGACTTGCCTTGAGAGAGTTCTTCGGAGCTGCAGAGCTGCTGGGGTGAGGCAAAGGCCCTAGGATCAGCACTTCTGGCACACCCAGAAGAGAAAGGAGGAGGGGGGTGGAGACAGGAAGGGATATAAAAGGAGGCAGTTTGGGCGGGAGAGGGGAGAAAAAAGAAGAAGCAGCCTTGGGAGAAGGAGGAGGAAGAATCAGCTGGAGCTGCACCGAAGGTAAAAGGAAGAGGAGGGGCAAGAGAGGAGAGGACAAAAAACAGGCCCGGTATGCACATGGATGGAGCGACAAACAGGTGCTGGGGAAGGATCATGGCATGAGTGTCCTTCCCTCCTCCCTCCCTCTCATTGTCCCTTCCTTCCCTCCCTCTTTGTTCCTTCCTTCACTCCCACCCGCCGTGCCCAGGAAGGAACAAGGGGAGGGGGACAGGCAGCCAGTACGGCTGGTGGCTTTGCTGCTAGTGGCCATGGCTTGAAAGGCCACTGTAAATTGCTGGACAAGACCCGCACAGTGTTAAGAGCAGAGTGGCGGGAAGATATTTGTAAAGAGGGAGGGAGAAAAACAGGCATCCCCTGAAGACCAGCAAATGGCCCCTGCCTTCACACACCTGTGGACTCCGGGGGAGGGATGTCCTTATATTCATGGGGGATTGGAATGCTTAAGTAGGAAGCCAAAAGATAACTGGAATAACAGGCAAGTTTGGCCTTGGAGTATAAAATGAAGCAAGGCACAGGATGATAGAATTTTGTCAAGAAAATACATAGCAAACACTCTTTTCCAACAACCCAAGAGACAGCTCTAGACATGGACATGACCAGACGGTCAACACATAAATCAGATTGACTATGTGCTCTGCAGCCAAAGATGGAGAAGCTCTATACAGTCAGTAAAAACAAGACCAGGAGCTGACTGTGGCTCAGATCATGAGCTTCTCGTTGCAAAATTTAGACTTAAATTGAAGAGAGAAAAACACTAGGCCACTCGGGTATGAACTAAATCATATCCCTGATGTATATACAGTAGAGGTGACAAATAGATTTAAAGAATTAGATCTGATGACAGAGTGCCTGAAGAACTATGGACGGAGGTTCGCAACATTGTACAAGAGGTGGCAACTAAAACCATCCCAAAGAAAAAGAAATGCAAGAAAGCAAAATGCCTGTCTGAGGAAGCTTTGCAAATAGCTGAGGAAAGAAGGGAAGCGAAAGGCAAGGGAGAAAGATACACCCAATTGAATGCAGAATTCCAGAGAATAGCTAGAAGAGATAAGAATGCCTTCTTAAACGAACAGTGCAAAGAAATAGAAGAAAATAATAGAATAGGGAGGACCAGAGATCTCTTCAAGAAGATTGGAGTTAAGAAGGGAACATTTCATACAAAGATGGGCATGACATAGGACCAAAATGGCAGGGACCTAACAGAGGCAGAAGAGATTAAGAAGAGGTGGCAAAACTACACAGAAGAATGATACAAGAATGAGCTTAACGTCCCAGATAACCACGATGGAGTGGTCATTGACTTACAGCCAGACATCCTAGAATGTGAAGTGAAATGGGGCCTTAGGAAATCTGAGCAACAACAAAACTAGTGGAGGTGACAGTATTCCAACTGAACTATTCAAAATCTTAAAAGACGATGCAGTAAAAGTGCTACACTCAATTTGCCAGCAAATTTGGAAAACTCAACAGTGGCCACAGGATTGGAAAAGGTCAATTTGCATTCCAATTCCAAAGAAAGGCAATGCATTCATTTCATATGCTAGTAAAGTTATGCTTAAAATCCTACAAGCTAGACTCCAGCAGTATGTAGATCAGCGGTTCTCAACGTTTGTGTGATGGCGACCCCCGTCACACAAACGTTATGCGCATGCGCGGCGGCGCGCATGGGGGCGGGCCCCCGCGCACGCCGCGCATGCGCGGCGGCGCCCCCGTGCGCGGTGCGCATGGGGCGGGGTCCCCTGCGCGCGGCGCACATGGGGGCGGGGTCCCCTGCGCGCGGCGCGCATGCGCGGCGCCACCCCCACGCGCCACACGCATGCGCGGCGCCACCCCCGGAGGCGCGGCACCGCCCCCGGAGGCGCGCCGCCGCCCCTACGCGCGGCGCGCATGCACGGCAGCGCCCCCCGGAGGCGCACCGCCACCCCCACGCGCAGTGCGCGTGCGCGACACCGCCCCCCCCGGAGGCACGGCGCCCCCCCGGAAGAGACAAAATGGCGGATCGCCGCGTTTGGCGACCCCGCAAAAGAGGTCGATCGACCCCAAATGGGGTCGCGACCCATAGGTTGAGAACCGCTGATGTAGATGGAGAACTACCAGAAGTACAGGCAGGATTTTGAAGAGGCAGAGGAACTAGAGCTCAAATTGCTAACATATGCCGGATCATGGAGAAAGCTAGGGAATTCCAGAAAAACATCTACTTCTGCTTCATTGACTATGCAAAAGCCTTTGATTGTGTGGATCACAACAAATTGTGGCAAATTCTTAAAAAGACGGGAGTACCAGACCATTTTATTTGTCTCTTGAGAAACCTATATGCGGGTCAAGAAGCAACAGTGATAACTGGACACAGAACGAATGATTGGTTCAAAATTGGGCAAGGAGTCCAGCAAGGCTGTATACTGTCACCCTGCCTGTTTAACTTATATGCAGAACACATCATGAGAAAGACAAGGCTAGATTAATCAAAAGTTGGAATTAAGATTGTCAGGAGAAATATCAACAACCTAAGATATGCAGATGATACCACTCTAATGTCAGAAAGTAAAGAGGAACTAAAGAGCCTCTTGATGCAGGTGTAGAAGGAGAGTGCAAAAATTGGTTTGAAACTCAACATTAAGAAAACCAAGATTATGGTTTTCTTCATCATTTGTTGGTGTTAATTCTATAAGGTGCTGTAGGGATTCATAGAACTGGTCAATTTCATCCTCTTCAGCACCAGTGGTTGGGGCATAGACTTGGACTACTGTTGTATTGAATGGTTTGCCTTGGATTCAAACTGAGATCATTCTGTCATTTTGGGGATTGTATCCCAGTATTGCTTTTCCTAATCTTTTATTGACTATGAAGGCTACTCCATTTCTTCTGAGGGATTCTTGCCCGCAAAAGTATACCTGATGGTCATCTGAGTTAAATTCACCCATTCCTGTCCATTTTAGTTTGCTGATTCTTAAGATGTCGATGTTCAGTCTTGTCATCTCTTATTTGACCATGTCTAGCTTGCCTTGATTCATGGATCTTACATTCCAGGTTCCTATGGAGAAAATATCTTTACAGCATCGGACTTTCCTTTCACCACCAGATGCATCCACAGCTGAGCATCCTTTTGGCTTTGGCCCAGTCGCTTCACTCTTTCTGGCGCTACTAGTACTAGCCCTCTGCTCTTCCCCAGTAGCATATTGGATACCTTCCAACCTGAGGGGCTCATCTTCCAGCGTCATATCTTTTTGCCTTTTGGTACTGTCCATGGGGTTTTCATGGCAAAGATACTGGAGTGGGTTGCCATTTCCTTCTCCAGTGGATCATATTTGTCAGAACTCTCTGCTATGACCTGTCCGTCTTGGGTGGCCCTGTATGGCATAGCTCATAGCTACATTGAGTTACGCAAGCCCCTTCACCACGACAAGGCACTAATCCATGAAGGAGTCTAATATAATAATCAAAGTAATTAGTAATCTATGATAGTGGATGTGCCCCCAGCTTTCTCTAAATATTCAATCGAATGATTTATCAGATTAAAGACCTAGCAGACAATGGGCCTCCTGATTAAAACAGAAAAAAATATTTGTACTATTATGGATGCTTAAGGAAAACTATATAATGACTGTGATATAATAAGTAAGGATTTATTTTTTATACTTTATAAAATTGAGTAAAAATGAGAAACAAACTCATTATTTTTAAAATGCAGTAACTTTTCTGAGTGTTAGGTGGTCTGAATAGATAAATATGCTAACAATTTTGATGTTGATTTCAAAATTATTTTGATATGTTTAAATGTTGATAGAGAGCTGCTGAGAGTTTGAAATGAGATGAGTGGGTATATAAATGTTTTAAATAAATTAATAAGTCACACATGCCTAAGCTATTTATCAGTGGCATCTCTATCTCGTCAGGGGCATAATAGATAATTATTAAACGTATGTAAACACGAAATGCTACTGGTCATAGTGACTATACTGTTCAGTAGTATAACACATATAAAAATTATTTGCTCTATTGTTGAAGACGCTTTTTGAAATAAACTTTTCATCTTCCTCCAATGAGGCTTCAATTACCAATTTTGAAGGCTGATGAAGATTCTCTGATTGTACAACTTGCCTAACCTTCTGTTTAAATATTGAGAATCTGCCAGAATGTTGAGCATGTAGATTACAAATAGTATTATTTTTGTTAATGTGCAATTTGGCATTATAAAAGGGTGACAAGCCTTGGATAATACTATATTGCGAACTTATATATTAGCTACACAATCAGTAAAACTGGAATCAGGACTATTAGTATCACTAGATGTAGAAAAGCACTTTAAAATGATTTTTTAAACTCAAAATACAAGGTTTAGAAAAAAGGCAGTTTTTATAAAGCAGTGGTTCTCAACCTTTTTATACGGCGACCCCGGTCATTAGCAGGCTGCGCACATGCACAGTGCTACCCCCTGCCCGGCGCGCATGTGCGGCGCCACCCATGCGCTGCCCATGCGCGACACGCATGTGTGGTGCTGCCCCTGCACGGTGCGCATGCACGGCGGTGCCTCATGCGCCACCCCTGCGCGGCGCGCATGCGTGGCGGCGCCTCATGCGCCGGCTGACGAAAAATGGCGGATCACGTTGTTTGGCGACCCCCGTGAAATGGTCGTTCGACCCCAAATGGGGTCGCGACCCACAGGTTGAGAACCGCTGTTATAAAGGTTCACAAATTAAGATAAAATTCCTTGTGTGTCCAATCACACTTGGTCAATAAAAAATTCTATTCTATTCTATTCTATTCTTCTATTCTATTCTATTCTTAAAATTAACTAGAACAAGATATATTAAAGAAACCAGGAGACTGTGAGTTCTAGTCATGCTTTAGGCATGAAAGCTGGCTAACTTTGAGCCAGTCACTCTGAGCCCAATTCACAGGATTGTTGTTGTGGGGAAATAGGAGGAGGAAGGAATATTAGATATGTTTGTTGAGTAATTTATATAAAAAAAATAAAGGCGGGATAGAAAATAAAAATTAAAATGCTAAAGAAAGTCTAAAACTAATCAAAGCTACATTACCTAATTGCACCTACACAAACATATATATAATACTAACATATGCCGGTAGGATATTGAATGCTAAACAGGTTACACAAGTTAACTATAACTGGAGGAAAATATAATATAAATGTAATTGATTGCATGGTCGTGATGATCACCTTGATTTCTCTTTACTAATTTTGCAATTGCTGCCAAATAGCATATAAAGCAAATACTAATAGAAAGGCAAGGGTGTAAAACTAAATTACTAATTAGTTTTACTAACTAAAATACTAATTTCCAAAAGTATTGGATGTCTGGACATTCTCAACAAATGTGCCAGAAAATTCTACTATTTTCACATCTCCTCTAATAATCCTCAAATATAGATTTTGACATTTTTATTGAAAATTTGATTTTTCCAGAAATGCATCTTAAAAGGTTTCTGCCTTGATAGAGTATTTCTATTTTATATAATATTTTCCCAAGCTCTTATTCCCATACATGGTTTAAACTCCAGATTTGCATTCCAGAAATCTTTAGATACTATTCATATTAATATTTATTTTGAGAAGCATAGACAGTTTGCATGTGGTATCTTATGTAATCCTAAATTGTTAATGAGAATGAATGAGTGAAAATTATCCTTTTAAATCTGTACAGATTTTTCTCTTTCCAACTGTAAAGGAGCTTGGATATGGCTCTGAAGAACGAATTCAACAGCTGCTAGCTAAAAACCAGTGTAGTCCTGAAGAGAGGAGAATGAGAAAAAGCTCAAGATTGCTCCATCTTGACTTGATTTGCTATAAAAGAAGGAAGAAGGAAACAGTCAGGCTTTCAAGATTCTGTTATTATGCCCTGTATCAATAAAATAGAGTTATAGTAGTGTCACAGCCAGATCACCCTCACATTCTTCCAGTAGTGTGTGTGGATTCTGCTTCCTGACTTCACATATCTCAAAGGGCCGACACCACCTCTTAATTCACTGAGAAAGACTGGTGTCCTCTTAGGGAAGGACATGATGCTAATTTTGGGCACCATTTTCATCTCATTTGAATAAAACACTTCAAAAAAGGATTTTATATGTTCTCCTCCTAGCAGTTTAATATCATTTTTTCATTAAACAGGATTACACTCAGAAAATAATTATGTAAATGTGATTATTGTATCCATTTTTAAATAGGACTTTCAACATAATAAAGCAATATGTTTTAATTGAAAGGCTATGAAATGTAGTGTTATATTAAACTGCTCTTTTGACATTTCCTTGCTAAATACACATTTTATAAATTACAATTTCCTTTGTCAAGAAAACTGACAGTCTAAAAGCTATGTAGTAATTTAGGAAATTGAATCCTTTATTTTCTCCAATACAGTGGTACCTTGGTACTCATCATTAATTTGTTCTGGGAGGCGCAACGAGTACTAAAAATGATAAGTACCCAATAAAGCATGTGACTTACCATGTGACCTTTTGTTTAGGCTGGGAAGGACTTCCTGTTTGTCCCTTTTCTTATGTCAGCAACCTTTTCAGCATGGCCAACTTCCTCTCTGTCCTCTGTGGCAGTTCCTATTCTTATCGCAGCATGTTGAGTATCAAAGGATGAGTACCAGGATGACATTTTTGCATCAAAATGCATTGAGTACCAAATTTGATGAGTTTTGAAGCAGTGGAATACTAAAGTACCACTATATATGTTGGTTCAATAAGTGCCAGGATTTTAGTTGTCTATTTTTTTGTGAATTAGCAATTAGACCTTTTATATAATACTATAGACCAGTATTTCTCTTCAGTTCTGGACCTAAAGAAGCTTCTTGGATGAGAAGCAAAATATTTTCAAAGGAAAAAACCCCAAGAAAGTCTAGTTGCCTTTGGGAAAAAGCAAAGTTCTGTCAATGCAACTTTACAGTAAAGTAGAATCACTCATTTGATTGTGATTCCTATCTGGTTTATTAAATTTATATGTTGCCTATTTCCCCGATAAGGGAGTTTAGTTTACTCCACAAGGCCACTACCAGGATTGCCAAATCTCATCAAGTATATTGCCCATAAGCTGCACCAGATTGTGTGGAATTTTCTTGGGCTAGAAGCCTACATCAAGATCAGCCCCTATGTCACCTATTGCTACACAACTACCTAAAGAGACTGTTATTTTTTTTTACTGAGTATGAAAGGATGGTCCTTCCAATGGGGGGGGGGTGTCCTTCAGACAGTCACTCTTGCCCTACTCACCTTGCAGCTTGATTACTGCAATATACTTTACATGGGACTGCCCTTAAAAGAGCATCCAGAAGCTTCAACTGGTCCAGAATATGAGGAGTAATGGATATGCTTTGATATGCCCAGGTAATACTTCTGCTTCATGAACTTCACTGGTTATGGTTTGCTTCTGGACATGATTCAAGGAGTGCCCTCAATCACCTTGGGCTGAGTCTGTTTCTCCTAGCATTTGCTTGACTGATTTGATCTGCAGGGTTGGCACCATCCAATTTAAACAATGTCATCAATCAGGATTGAAAAAGCATACTTCTCTGTTAACAGTACCTGCCCTCTGGAATAAGATATTGATAAACCCCACTTTGCTATTCTTCAGAGCTCTGAATACTTGGCTCTTCACACAAACATTTGTTGAGGAAATGAGACACTTTGCTTCAATCCATTTGCCATCTATTATTTCTAATTATTTTATTGTAATTTCCTTTTAATTTTGTGAGCCACCAAGAATCAGAACCAGGCTGTCAGAGTTAGAATGTGACTGTTAGAGCAGCAGGTGACTGCATATGAGATGAAACAGTAATCAACTATGTATTTCCTTGAATCTTGAGTCCTATTTCTGGCATGGATTTCTCCTTAGCTTGTCCAGGCATGTCAACTTTACCCTAGAATAGTGTGATTGGCACATCAGTATATTTGGGAAGCCATGCTACAGAACATTACATTCATAATTATTTGAATCAGAGAGGAGCCAGAAGATGGACTTAACTCATATTTGGATTGACTTAGTAACACTTGCCATCTGGTATGTTTCCTGTCTCCACCAATAAACATTCTAACCAAGTGAATGTTTTCCAGGTAGATTGAAAAATGCAGTAAGCCTTCAAAGTACTCTGAAAATTCCATGTCAACAGGACCCAAAAAGATGCATAGCATGAAGTAGACACTGTTGCAAAGCAAGTCAAAAATGGTTCTGTCTAGACTACTTTGGATTGGTAAGTTGACCTGTGCCTATCGAAGTGTTTTCAGAATATATGTAAAATATCATATTGGTTTGCTGAGTTACTTGTGATCTTGGCCCGATGCTTCAGTGGTACAATTAAGAAACTGAAATACTTTATTTATTCCTTGTTTGTTAACTATATTCCTCTGTTGGGCTGTAAATGCTGGCATTTACAAAATTAGTGGATCAGAGGAATGCTGTGGATATAATTTACTTGGACTTCAGTAAGGCATTTGATAAAGTAGATCACAACCTACTACTCGATAAGATAGAAAAAAGTGGGTTAGACAGCATCACCACCAGATGGATTCGTATCTGGCTGACTGGCCGTACTCAGTGTGTGGTCCTCAATAGAACTGCATCTACATGGAGGGAAGTGTGTAGTGGGGTGCCCAAGGGCTCTGTTCTAGGCCCAGTGCTCTTCAACATCTTCATCAACGATTTGGATGAGGGGATAGATGGGGAACTCATCAAATCTGCAGATGACACCAAGCTGGCAGGAATAGCCAACACTCCAGAAGACAGGCTTAAGATACAGGAGGATCTGGACAGACTTGAACACTGGGTTCTATCTAACAAAATGAAATTCAATGGTGAAAAAAGTAAGGTTCTACATTTAGGCAAGAAAAAACAAATGTACAGGTATAGCATAGGGGGTACCTTGCTCAATAGTAGCAACTGTGAGAGGGATCTTGGAGTCCTAGTGGACAATCACTTAAATATGAGCCAGCAGTGTGCTGCAGCTGCCAAAAAAGCAAACTCAGTGCTGGGCTGCATTAACAGGGATAGAATCAAGATCACGTGAAGTATTAATATCACTTTACAATGCCTTGGTAAGGCCACACTTGGAATACTGCATCCAGTTTTGGTCACCACGATGTAAAAAAGATGCTGAGACTCTAGAAAGAGTACAGAGAACAAAAAAGATTAGGGGACAGGAGGCTAAAACATATGAGGAACGGTTGCTGGAACTAGGTATGTCTAGTTTAACGAAGAGAAGGACAAGGGAGGACACGATAGCAGTGTTCCAATATCTCAGGGGCTGCCACAAAGAAGAGGGAGTCAGGCTATTCTCCAAAGCGCCTGAGGGCAGGACAAGAAGCAACGGATGGAAACTAATTAAGGAGAGAAGCAACCCAGAACTAAGGAGAAACTTCCTGACAGTTAGAACAATTAACCAATGGAACAACCTGCCTGCAGAAGTGGTGAATGCTCCAACACTGGAAGTTTTTAAGAAGAGACTGGACAGCCATCTGTTTGAAATGGTGTAGGGTTTTCTGCCTGCCTGAGCAGGGTGTTGGACTCGATGACCTCCAAGGTCCCTTCCAACTTTATTATTAGTATTAGTATTATTATAAAGCCCAATACAATATTTCTAATGGAATTTTTAGTTTTTTTTTAAATTGGATACTGTGGCATTAACACTCCTATGCAATGAAACAGAAGCAGATGCTCCTTTTTTTTCAGTCAACACACTAGCAACTATTGCAGTGATTGTCACAACTTTCCCAACGTTGAAGAAAGATATCACCCTGCTTGGGATAGAATGCTCAAACCAAGAGAACTAACTCACTGAAGAGTGTGCTAAGAGTAGATTTTTCTATCTGCTAAATCCGTTACCTCAAAGTAAGTACAGAATTATCTGTCCTATAAGAGTTGTCTGGGAATTTTGTTTAATTGCCCAACCTGAAATTGGTTGGCTAATTTTTTTAAAGATTGGTTCACTGGCAGCAATCAAAATGGACAGCCACTCCATTAGGAAGCTATTTTTGTATTACAGGTAGTAACAGATTAAAGGGTTTTAAGTGTTGGTTACTATAAAGGTTACATGTATTTTAATTCTAATTGTTGCTACCTTATCTATTTATATCAACTTACACTGGAGTTTTTTTTTTTTCTTTTTCTTTTACAGGATATTGAAAATCTCAATTCCTTGCAGCGGGGACAAATGTCTAATAGAATATTCATCTAACTTTCATTTTTTTTAATTTTTAAAGCAAAGTCCAAACATTACTAAACAATTTATAATTTTAATGCAGTAATTGTATTATCGTGTTTTAAACCCCCAAAGCATTCAATGTTCTCTCAAGAGAAGACTATTTATTCTTAACATAATATGGTTATGTCAATGATTACATTGCACAGAAGGTTCTAATAGTCAACTGAATAAATTAGGCTTTTCTTGACAGCAATTCAATTGTAGTCTAGTTAGTTTAATGCAATCTTACATCCACTTATATAGAGGAAGACATTTAAGTAAATAGGACTGTTTCCAAGGAGAAGTGTAAAGAATTGCACTGCCAGGTTTTTATAAATCCATACGACTTTGTTAACTTTCATTAGAATTTTGGGAAGTAGGGTGTAATTAAACACTTCTGCAATCTTTAATTCACATGGAATTTACTAGCCATATAGCAGTGATGGCGAACATTTAGAGACTGAGTGCCCAAACTGCAACCCAAAACCCACTTATGCAGTGTCAAGTGCCGGGTGGGTGTGGCCCATTGGCTGGGTATGGCCCATTGGGTGGGTGTGGCTGCGGTGGTAACGGCAGACTGGGTGGGACTAAAAAGTTCAATCAATCAGTTCCAACTTTGCAAGATCTTTTTTTTCCCCGCGAGAAGTTGAAATTGACTGATTGAATCTTTTTTTTTTTTTTTTTTGCACATGGCGGAGGCCAAAAGTGAAAAGGTTTTATAAAACCCAGCTGAAGGCCTAGGACTATGGCACGCGTGCCCACAGATAGGGCTCTGAGTGCCACCTCTGGCACCCGTACTATAGGTTCGCCACCACTGCCATATAGAATGGCCTGCAGGCAAGCAGTTAAACCAGATTTATAAAAATCTCTATAAAGAGCTATGCTACATGGTTGATAAATACATTTGGCTAGGTGGAGTTTATAGTCTCTTTGATTGCAGGCACACACAGTTGTGCATTTCTTGTACATCTATCACAATGTTTAACAATAGGGCTATGTTTTGGAGGACTGATACAAAAAAGTCCCTCACGAACTGAGATTCTGCCCCTGGGGACAAGAGGTTACTGAAACTATAGCTCATGTCCAGACCTACTGTACCCTCTACAAGGATTTGCCTTATAACTCCTTATCTGGTAAAATATCCAGGAAATGCTGCTCTTTCTTATCTGCAGTTCTTGTTATCAGAGCAATATGATTCAGTCTCTTTGAATATAGCTACATTTGGTTATATTATAAAATTAGGCAGACTTTGATTACCCATTAAATCCACTAAATATTTTATCTTGTTTTATTTTTATTTTATTTTTTAATATATTTTTGTTTGCAATTCTGTCAGTAACTATAATAAAAATAGTCATTCATGTGTGAAAGAGGGATTTATCTGGGATCCTTATCTGGTTAATGGCAAAGTGAGAAGCATCTGAGGTGGAGAAACCAAGTAGTATATATGATGCCTTGAAAAAATAAACTATTATTTTTAAAGTTTCTATGTGTAGTGTCTTACCTACTACTACTGATGTGGAAGAAAATCAAGATGATCCTGTGTGATTTTCTATGTGGTTCAAAATAACTTAATTACAGATTCTTATTTACCAACATTTTCAGAAACATTTATTATGAAAAATTCCTTCTTCTTACCATTTTCTCATGTAGTCCTTAAAGGTAAATGGTTTTCCTAAGCCCAAGAGGAGTAAAAACACTTACAACAATGATACATTAACAGGTAACTTTTCTGAAAATAATTAAAATGGTTTGTTTGAAAATTGAAATGGCTTGTAGTATACTTTAAACAATTAAAATTAAAGTGCCTATTAAAAAGCAAGGGAAATTTGATGATATAGAACTGAATGATTTTAAAATTATACAGCTGCAATATAGTTGTGTATGCATGACCAGCTTTCACTAAGTAGCTTACATTGTTTACTTCTTTCTCCAATTCAGCAAAGATATTCTCCACGTATAGCTACTGCAAGTTTCCATTCATATGTGTGTCTTACTCTGTTCACCTAGTTCCCACTGAACGTAACAGAGACATCTGACAAACAGACACAGATTTTTCAATAGCAATCTGTTATCTGAGATTGCTTATCACATGAGAATTGGCCTTGGTTCTGTTTGCTATGAAAAATAAAAAAGTACACTGCTTGCTCATGAACATACATTACTTCAGCTTTCACCAGATTCACCTAGCACAAAACGTTAGTTGTCAGTGTATATCAAACTTGCAATAATTAAATATGATCCATAGCATTTTAGGTTATATGTTTCAAACCTGAATATTCATTCATAGTTCATTGAAGAAATACTTGCGCATACAGATTCCCAGGAAAAAAACATTTCAGCCAACTTTCCATGTACCGTAATCTAGTTTTTATTTGTACGAAAGACTGCATATCTGATTCCTGCATATGTAAAAAACGTTTTGAAAAGATGAAAAATTGCCAAAACTTCAGGAATTATTTAAAAATTAAGCCACAAGCAGATCTATACAATCTTTTACTTCTATTGATCAGGAAAGAAATGCAGAGAACCAGGCTATAATCAGAATGTTTGGCTGTGTTGCTAGAGCCACAAGATCATTCTCCTAGAAGGCCACATATTGCAAGAGAAATTTCATCATTTCAGACTATCCATTAAAAAAAAAAAAGCAGCTGGTTCTTCCCGCAACACATTTAAGAACAGAACAAGAACAATCCAAATGAAATCTGAGTCATACATACTTTTTAAAAAAATCCATTAGAAAAGAGCAAGAAAAAGTTATAAGCCATTATGACTTTCTTAACATGTTCCTGGAATGCCAATATCCAAGAATAGAAAAAGCTTAAAATAATTATTCCAAGAAATTACTAACCTAAACTATCTGCAGTATGTTGCATTGCTATGAACATAACATTTTTCACTGGCTTTTCAGCTGGGACAAATGAAGTGATTTCCCCCTTTCTACTCTCCCCTCCCCGTCATTAAACCATAGGAATTAAGGCAAAAGCAGGAGATATCCATTTTTTAAAAAGATCTGGTAGTAGGAATCGCTTAATTTTTCCATTTGCAAAACACCATGGCTAATCTGGACAGGCAATTCATTTACGGGGCTGGTGGATGTATTGGTTGACATGTTGTAGGGGAGGATGTTTTTCCACAGAGGGATGTGGTTTCTGATGGGCTACTTGTGCTGCAGCTGGAGGGAAGTCTTTATCACCCTGATTAAAGAACAAACACATCAGCATTAAAAACAACATACAGACACATCAACAATTAGTCTCTCTCCCTGTTTAAAGATAGGAAAGTATTGCTGAAATGACCTTTAGATTACTGATTTCAGGTTGGTGAAAATTAGTTTTCTGTCAGAAGTTCAGACTCTTGGAATCTGGAGTTAAGAACTTTTGAATCTGCACATATAGCTTCAAACAGGCTACACCATCCTTCACATCTTGTTGCAGATTTTTAGAAGGCCACAGTGGCACCCTTCTACATTAAACATAAAAAGTATTTGGGCAGCAGAATACTTGTTAATGATTGAATTTGGGAACGGGAAATGAACATTTATATTTGAGGTCACTTACATTTCTGTTAACTACTGAAAGCACTTCAATAAAAATTTCTCTCACACATCCACTCACTGCTGTTCAGAGCACTGTCGAGCTTAGAATAAGCTTACCTTTACAAGTTTCCCTCAACAGTAATGAGGTCAAGAAACTTAAGATGTGGTGCTGATGAAGGCTATATCATTTCACTCACTGGTAGTGAATCTGAGCATAATTCTTCTAGTTTCTAGGCAGTCTCACAATTCCTGGGGAGGAGGGGGAATCTGCCAAGTTTGACTTTTCTAATTATGGAAGCAGCGTTTATCAATCCTTCTAAGCAGCTCTTAATACTTTTGTCAGTTTTAGTCAGCTTTGCAAACCCTATAAAAGTTTGATTTTTCTTGCTCACTAAGTAGCACGTATCAAATTCTTGTCCCACATTATCTCCCAAGCACTTATGCTTCAAAAAACTAGTATATATCAGCATGCGTCCATCAGAAATCCATAAGGTGTGTTTATTTGTGAATAGATTTTTGGACTGGCTCAATTTCAGCCTCCATAAATACTATAGTATTGTAGTGGGAACTGTTTAGAATAGGAATTATACCTGTATGAATCAGTTAAGTACTGCAAATTCTAAATTCATTAAAGTCTATAATGTTCAGCAAAGTTTTTTCAGCTATTGGGCACTGAACTTCCAGTGTGCTGGGCTTTTGAAACACAAATAGAAATTGAAGTGTGCTTAATATTTGCATCTGAAACTGAAGTTTACTTTTAAAGAAATGAAATTATGGCTCTTATAGCGGTTACGCATCTGACTGCATATGAAGTAAATATATTGAAGTAAATGAAGCGTAACTTAAAAAGCTAATATATGATTTTGTAGCCATGCCTGGGTATATTGTAAGCAAGAAAAATCTTTCTTTCAGAATTTTTATTTGCTGAGTAGTTATGTGAATAAGTTATATTTGTACAATCTAATGCAATTTGTCTTCTCTTGGTATGGTTCAGATGTTTGGGGTGTTTTTCACAAGCCTAAACATTTTCAGTCAACATCTTTATGCTGTAAGGATGTAATAGATTTAGGGGCCCAGAAAATGCTACAAGACTGTTTGCGCTTGTTTTTGAAAGAGAGGTTCTCCTATTATTCACTTTGTTATATTTTCAGTGCCTGGGAAAGAACTCCCTCTTTTCCAAAATATACCTCTAGGCATTCTTTCTATTAGTTTCACAACCCAGGGTAGAAATTTTCCAGCCCTCCAGGATATCAAGCTAAGTTTTGAAGAACATAAACTATTTTCCTTCGTATTCCAATATACATATTTTTACTTTTCATTTTCTACATTTAACTGTAAAGCTGACAGGGGAGATAGAAATTGTAAAAAAAAAAAAACCTGAGTTACAGTTTACCTGATAGTATTTTTAAATATGTAACTCATGAGGGTAATTCACATCCTATTAAAAAACTCACAAAACTATTTTTCTTTTTCAAGATAATGGGAATTACACAACTGAATTATGTAATCTGGTATAGCAAAACTATTTCCTTGGTAAGGAAAATCACTGACGAAAAATGTAGCAGATGTTTGCAATTCATATTTTCATACTGAAAAATTGAAAATTATTGAAAAATAGGACTTACCCTTGCAATTACACCAGAAATAAACACCGTTGGTTTGGGTGGACTGGAAAATAAAATGGGAATATTTAGTAACATACTCAAATTGATTTGATAGAAGTCATAAAGCAAAATTAAGACATTTGAAAGGTATAATCAAACTTTTAAAACAGCCTTCTTAGAATTTGCTCAAAACTGCCATAATATGCAACCTACTTAACCTTATTCACACTTCCATTAATTAGTGCATGAGATATGAACTGGTTTATTCTAAGCAGTGGTGGGATTCAAATATGTGAACAACCAGTTCTGTGTGGATGCCGCTTCCGGAAGTCCATTCTGGGCCTGGGCAACAAAAAATTAGCTACCGATTCTGCTGAACTGGCTGAATCCCACCACTGTTTCTAAGGTATTTTTGATTTTAAAAAATTAATGAAAGAATAAAAGTGGAAGTATCATTGCAAACCACAGAAGTTTTCTTGTTTAAAATAGAAGCTATTAGAGTTTATCACTATACAAATATGAATAAAAACATCTGTGGAAATTAAAATGTTGAAGAGCATAACTGTTATAACAGTAACAGTTGTAGCTGGCAGTTACAGCAGCAATCCATTTATTTTGTTATTCTTCTACTTCTTCTGTTTTTTGTTTTACAAGAACTGCAAGATTTAGTAACTGGAGTCAAATTTAAAAAATATAAATCCCTAATACTAAGAATGAGCTAAGTTTATATTTGTCACATATCCATGCACTGTTTTTCTCAGAAGTTCAACACTATGTTTTTATTGTTGCTGTTTCTAAAGAAATGGAAATGATCATTTTCTGCTCCCAAACCCACTATTACATATATTACTGAAGGATATGTCTATCCACAGCTATTAAGATGGTTTAATCAAGTTTCTTGCATAAAGTGTGGGTTGGAACATTACTTACAGTACGGCCTTTTACTACTTGCTTCTAAGTTAACTGAAATAAATATGTAAGCTAGTTCCAGTCACTAATACAAGAGCAGTACAAACTCAGTGTCAAACAGAAAATTCACACTATCAGTGAGAAGGATTAACAGGCAATTGAAGTAGCTGAGAGGAACTTTTTTCTCTCCTTCCACTCCTTCTACAATATTCATCCCTCTTTTTCTCCTTTTTCTTCACTCTACCCCTCCTTCTTTTTAAGTTGTCCAGCGGGCTTCACTCCAGTAATATAAAAAACAATCTTCATGGCAGGTTTGCTAGCTAATATTGGTAGCTTCAGACATTTCTGGAAAATCAAAGGGAAATGTAGCAATGCATCTCCTGTTTCCCACCTTGTGTTAATCACTAGAATAATCAAAGAACAGAAAAAAGTAGCATAATTAACAAGATAATGTGTTTAATTTGTGTTTAGGCATGTGATTCTCTAACTCCCCCCCCATTCCATTTTTCCACTGCACAAATACATGAGGTCCTTAAAACCACCTGTTAGAAAGGACACCTGGGAACTATGTATGAGCTGCTCTGACCTCTTCACCAGGCTATAATATAAGGCCTAGGCAGTTATGGGCTTGCAATTGTAGCATATGACTGAGCGCATGTAAGTGTCTTCAATAAACTGGCCCTCACAGATGTTGACAATAACTTCTATGGTCCTTGGCAGGTATAGCCAACACTTTATTAATTGGAATGTATGCCAGGTATCAATTTGTACAATTAAAGAGTACCAGACAGGAAACACTCTGACATTTTGCCCTCAGCTAAGACAGGTTTGGAAATTGATACTTGCCTGGTTACATATGACCTGGAAAAGGCAAATACGCAACTCTATCCAGGCAACCAGGCTATGTACTAATATCAAAAGAGTAAGCAACAACAATTAGATTAGTACTTGGACAGGAGACTACTTGTAAATATCAGACTGTAAATTAATCTGGGGACGACAACAAAAACATATGGGAAGATGATAATACTGCTTCTAATAAAACATGTCCATGAAATTTGATTCATGGGTATCTCTTTTTTTTTTAGCTCTTTTTAAAGTTCATTGAGCCCATCAGTCTGCTACAGAGAACACTTAGGGTATTGGAGTAGGAAAATGGTTTCCAATTCAGACTCAGATATAAACTCCACTGGGCAAAGCCCGGACTCCTTCACAGGCCATTATGAGATTGAAAATAGCAGTGGGATGAAGAGACCCATTATAGCCCATTAAGAGTTTTTGTTTTTTTTAAAGAAAGCTGGAATATAAACATTTTTTTAAAAAAAAGAGTTTTGGGACAGCAGGTAAATCAAAGATCATGCCAACAAGTTGCAAGCCTTGAAGAAATTCAAATGATCTCTGATCAACTGAGAGGAAAAACATACTTTCAAAAGACACCTCATTCTTCCCAACTGCCAAAGCTTCTCTGGAGCTCTGACTGCTTGTCCCTAAATAATTATGATGACTAAAGTTCCCCGAGATACATTAGTAGAAATGGCAGCAAACTGAAAGCTTATTAAAAGCAGACTTAGTATTTATGCCAGACTGCTCCAATCCAATGCTAATCACAGAGTCTGCATTCTGTTTTTCTACTTCCTTTTTTAAGAGGGGCTCCAAAATCCTATATCCACATCTATCACAAATAACAGCTAAAAATAAAAAGGATAGAGAAAACCTGGCAGTGATCTTCTCTCTCACTTGTCCAATACTAAGGGACATAATTAGAAGGAGGAGGAAATAAAGTTTTGGTTTTAAATGCTTTTCCACTCTGCTTTTGCTGCATCCAAAGTGTAACTTACACTCCCAGTATTTTGTAAGTTATAATGGCTGCTTTGACATATGTTGGCTTGAAGAAGTAAGATACTTTTGTTGTCAAGGCTTTAGAAAATAAAACATGTTCTTTTAGAACAGTGGTTCTCAACCTGTGGGTCGGGACCCCATTTGGGGTCGAACGACCATTTCACGCGGGTCGCCAAACAAGGCTGTCCACCATTTTTCCCCCTATTCTTTGGCCACGCCCATGGCACCCGGTGATGTAAGTGGTTGGGGGTCACCACAACATGGGGAACTGTATTATGGGGTCGCGGCATTAGAAAGGTTGAGAACCATTGTTTTAGAAACATCATATGGAATTGTTAACAGGTGCAATTTTTAAAACATTAATAATCTGTTACATTTCAGAGAGAGTATTTTTATCTAAGATAAGCAAAGAGATTTATTTCTAGCAATTAACATATGGAGGAGAAAATAGCACTTGTTTTATACTGTTTTTTTCAATTACTAACTCCGATGTCACACAAAGAATAAAGAATCTGCTGAATACTGATCGCTTTGAGGGTTTCAATTATTTTTAATCCCATATAACTGAATTCTAATATATTATAACACAAGGGATTAAACATGCCATTTCCTGATGCTACAAATAAATCTTCGAAAAAACTGATTAGTTGAGAAATCCATTTAAACTAAAGAAGAGATCTGACAGTCTTGGTCTCTATGCAGTCACTCTTAATTATTGTTAGATCACATCTATAATATTTAATATAGCCCTTTAGTGTTTTTAAAGTACTTTGCGTGTATTTGGGTGGTAAGCCTCATAAAAACCAAAGCTCTGGGACAAAGATCTGCCTTACCAGCTTTAGTGCGATTTTCAGTCATAGATAGGGCTGCATGTGCTGGCCTGCTTCTAATCTTTGTACCATGTGTGTCTTGACAAACAACTGGGCTCATTGATACAACACTCTCTATTACCACTTAGCTTCACTGTGCTCAGTGAATCCCTAAAGAAGGCCTGGGTTTCTATATCTGTAGCAACACTTTGCAGTGTTGTTGCTGCAAGGTTAATACTGACATAACTACTATTGAACCTAGGACATGACTACTACTGTTGCTTGGTCACAGGAAAGCCTCTTTCTGATCTTGGATATTCTGAAGATATAATAATAGTAACTGAAATGCAGCCACCTGAGAATGCTTGTTGCGCTTACCCTCTAGTAAAAATGTGGGTGATGGGTAAGGACAAGCCACAATCCCCATCTTATATATGTGCAGAAATGATTTTGTAAAGTAATCAACACTGGTATCTTCTGCTACATAAACACAAAAGAATTGCAAATTAATATTTTAAAAATACATAATCTTGTCTTGATGCAGCTATGAAGAATCTCAATAGGGTGTTCTCAACAGGGTAATTCTACTTACTTTTCCTCTTTAAATTTTGATATTTCATATGGGAAGTACAATTTTTCTACCAGGCAGCTGTCCTAAAATTACAACAGCTTGGTTTTTCTGACTATTATTTAATTATTGTTTGCTTCTCACAATGCTCTGATTTTGTTAGCAGACTGACACAATGTCAGAGATTTTATTAATGCGCAATATTGTTTTTCTAACAGCTTAAGCTAAGCTGCACATTTACAAAGCTTTCCACAGGATGGCACTGATGAACCGCCAAGATTTTGAAACAGAATAAAAGCAAGCAGTTTATTTTTCCTGAATAAAGTTGCACAGTTGCAAATAATGTGTCCCCAAACCTTCTGAAGAATTAATGTATACTTATAGATACACCCCTGCGGCCCTTTAAAAAAAAGACCATGCCTATTCTTTTTTGCACCATTCTAAAGTAAAAAACAAAAAGCAGATAGAGAAAATGCTAGCATACAAGAGAAAGAAAGATTTAACACATTGGTTTAAGGGACTTGAGCATGCACTCATGTACACTGAATTATAATTCTCATCACCTCAGAGAGCAAATCGTCCAAAGATCCAGGTTTAATAGCAATGAAATTTTCCCTTGTTCCCTGTTGCAAGCAATCCAACAGTTTGATGGCAGGTTTCACATAGCTATAACATACTAAACATTCCCCAATCATCATTCTTTTATTCAGCTCAGTGGAGGATATGATAAATGCTGCACTATTTGCAATCCCCACTGGGCCTATTTCTCTTTATTTGCATGTAATGTTGGAAACTTGCAGCATCTTTGAATAATGTCTGTGTTTTCAAGTAAAGTTTCATTTTGAGGGGAGAGGACTCCATTTGTCATCCCTGGATAATCAATCTTCTCAGTAGGGTATATAATTAAGATCCGTAGTATGTTAGCCTGTATTTAGGAAG